GATTGTTTATTGGTTAGTTTTATGTATTCGTTATCATATAAATGGTTTAACAATTAACCATCATGTCTGCTTTGCTTTCGATTGAGAATTGGATTTTAACAGTGCTATTAAGCACATGTAGACTTGACATTGAATTTCGTTTAACACATTTCTAGAGGAATACGATGCTGTGCTTATTGAAAAACGATAATTTATGACATGGTCATTACGCTGAAAAGTGGTTATCCACAAAAATACGATTACACAACAGCTTAAATATTAAGAACAAATTATCATAAATGTTAAGAAGTAACTGAATTAGAAAATCGTTCGGTTGTGGACAGATAATTGTGAAGTTCTACTCTACCATAAATATGAATAACTTCATCATAAAAACGATATTGATAATGATGTATAGTAGTTCCCTAGATCACTTGTAGGGTAATAACAAAATTCTCTTCACTTGTCTTAATAATGGGAGTTTTATCAGCTGTGCATAGCATCCGGTTCTGTTACTCCGTTTTCCTTCCATTACAAGCCACATATTATCAATTTTATCATGAATGAAGGCGAGTTTATGCAGACATTCAATGTGTTATTGAACAAAAGTAACTGTATGAATGGAAACTATATCAAGTAAGATACTTATCTGTGTTAAATACAGAAATAATAGTTATTACTCTGTGAACGATTTGTGGTAAATGCCTAGAAGTGAGAAGGCTGATCGATTTGTGAATGGATTAGAGATGATGTTTTCAGTAGTGGTGTTAAGCTGCTAGTTATTTTGATCTAAATTAATTTGTCTGATGAAATAGACGTATCACATCAATGGATATTTGAATATTTTCATAAAACCTCTTTTCTTGTTAGATATGTTGTTGCGATTTCCTATGATCATGTGCAGCCAGGGTGATTAGTTCGCGAAAATCCCCTATCACTTTCTGCAAGTATTACAGCATGGATCTTTGGAACTCACATAAGAAGTACACTAAGATGTTTTTTAAGAGATATGTCAATGTGTAGAGCAATTTTCGTTCCTACGAAATGTCAAGTGAATGAAATTCTCAAACACGATAAATAGATAATACCGAATAGAAATAAAGCCACTTCACAAATCAATGTAGAACAGCATCCGAGATTTGAATGCTGAGAATTATTTTAGTTTAGTGAAAACTTATTCATGATAATCATCTGAAAATACGAAGAAGATCTGATGACAATTAGAAACGTGGTCGTTTATGATATTTAGGAATGCATTTCGAATTTCACATAGTTTGTCACTAACTGAAGAAGGTTTAGAAACAGACCACAACTTTGTTTATTTCCTAAAATCAGATGAATATGTGTATGCACCAATTCAATATAACTAGTCACAAATAATAATTTTATGCTTTTCCAGTTCATTCGGAATCTATTCACCGGAAAAATACATGATAATGTGTTTTCTGGGTTCATATGGAGTAATGAGTAAGTGAAGTCGAATTCATCATGTTGCAGATATTTTGCTATAAATCTCAAATAAAACTACTACGAATCCTTGTTAACATTTCTACTAATATTTGGTAAGTTGTATATTGCAGACAATACGAAATAGAGGAATTATATTCACACGACTTTCCGTAATAGAAATGAAGTGCTACTGATAATCAATTCACAGAGACAATTTGTTAATGCTGTGATCATCGTAACATGCTTTACAAACGTGTTGGACACTATCAAGAATAGATGACCACCAATGCCATACATTAACAGAATGTGTTTTGTGGAGATTTTTAGAAATTTCACTGGTTGAAGTCATGAGTCAACCTAAGCTAGACCACCATGGAAAGATTGAAGCACTGGACTGCCGTTTCGTCCTGGTATGGGACTACTCAGCAGTGCGCATCCACGAACCCGCACACCGCGGGATGTTTATACAAACACTTGCTTTCGGAATAATTTATATCAAGTTCCATTATTGAAAAATGAATACATGTAGAAAGTAACGAAAATCGTCATGTCTTATTACATGTTCTATACACTTAGATCTTTTGTGTTGTACCATAAATTGTGTTTTTCAACTACACCATTGACTCTCGTTAATTAAAATAATAAGATAACTACAATTCTCTAGGGGATTTCAATCAACGAACGATGTTACGAGCTACACTCAGAGACTACGTTGAGAGGTAATAATAGAAGTCCTCTCCTGTTTCAGTTTGGACAACTGATCAGTATCACCACCCACACACAAACAATTGACTTGAGTGGCGCATATGTGTTGGGTGGGAATGATGCATTACAAATGGGGAATAATAAGCTTCATTTTGAGCTAGGTTTTTTACGGAAATCATCCGACTGAATCACGACACAAGCGTTAACTTGAAATCGTGAAAGTAAACGGACTAGTGGAATGCCAAATAAAGCATTGCTTTTGGGAATTGCAGGTATACATGAAATTGGGGACAACGAGAAAGGAGACTCCATAATGGAGCTGGTATGGGAGTCATGATCAACGGCTCATGCTACTGCACGAAGATGAATAAAAGGCGTAATGAAGTAAGTAAGTAAGTGATCAAATGTGTAAGTAGGTAAGTAAATTAATATCTTATTTTTGTCGACATAGCTCAACTTTAAATGTAAATTGAGTCCCTTATTATCTTTAATTCTACTATTAGCCTTTTAGTAATCTAGCATTGAAATAATCTCAACTATTGAAATTTAAATAATTCCAACGTTTCGTCCAGCAAACTTGTCAGAAGGTCTTTATGGTAATAATGGAAATCTAGATTATCAAAGAAATATATAACGTTAAACAATCAAATCAGATCAAATCTATACTGTGCTAATCCAATTATAATTGGATGTTGACTTGTTAAATAGAATAACATGAGTCAGTTAAATGCAAATCATGTGGAAAGTTCACAGTGTGGAAATAAATGGCTGAAGGAATTGTGTGTATATATGTATGTGCAAAACTGAGTTATTCATAGGTGAAAAGTTCTACAAAATACATTCTTTAATGTCATGATTTCTATCCTATTCTTATTTAATTATTGTTTTTTTCATGCTGGAAATAATGTTAAACGTGAATTAAAATTGTGATTCATCTGATCATAGTTAGGATAATTACTGAATATCAATGATAATGGAAACCAGTATATGGATTCAGATCGCCAATTAATATATATAATGTTCACAAGTTGAAATCATAAGCCAATTGAAGCTGGACCACCATGGAAAACCTGGAAGCACTGGACGGCCGTTTCGTCCTAGTATGGGACTCCTCAGCAGTGCGCATCCACGAACCTGCCCCCCACGAGATTCGAACCCATCCAGTGCTTCCAGGTTTTCCATGGTGGTCTAGCTTCAATTGGCTCATGATTTCAACTTGTGAAATTTCTAAAAATCTCCACAAAACCCATTCTGATAATATATAATGTTGTTTAAATACAAAATGTGAATTTAAAAGTATCAATGTGGACCACTATTAATCTCCAAAAAATGATGGATATTTTTGAAAATTAGTGTTTGTTTACTGAATCACTGATGCATTTAGCTTTTTTTTAATCGGTAAATAACGTAATAGTTTTACAATAATTATTGCGATTCAATTAAAAATCTTGATATTTATCTTCTGTACACTACTTTTCCCTACCGAACGTTAAAGTTGATGATGTTTAAAAACATTTCAAAGCGGTATGAAAATAAAATTAGTTATTGGAAGTATCTACATTTACAAACAGGTTTTTATGATTATCACATAGTTATCTACATACGAAGTTGGAATCAACTTCGGAACTTATTAACTAGTACTTTAGTGAATGAGAACACATATGGGAACAATCGAATGTATTTGAATGCAAATTTACAGAACGTTTTAGTAAAATCTAAGAACCATACAGTAAATACTTCATTTGCAAAATGTCAATCAAACGTCTCAAACTTCATTGTTATTTCGTTTCCACATCAATCATTCTATGTTCTCGTTCTTTTTTCTTCAATCTACTTAACCTTCACTTTAAATCAATGATACATACTACTTATATCTGTCCATATCAGTAGTACACAACACAGAATTTATGTCTGAAGTACATAAATCTAAAATGATGAGTTTAATATTGGCTTTTATGTAATCAACTAGCTATTGTCAAATTCATTAAATAATTAAGATAATACTGATCTATCCATGAATAAGATATATTTTTAGTTGTTTTCCTTCATATTCACAAAGACACTACAATGATAAAAGTAATGACAATACATAACCAATATCATCAAACAATCCGACATTGAAGAATATCCTATAAATTATTGAGATATTGTTGGGATATTTGGAAATATATCCCAAAACTCATCCTGTTAAGTCTAATGCTATCCTTGGACGTGAAATGGTGTCATTTTCCTATTGGCCAATATTTATTTCACGTGACATTTTCCTGTTGGCCAAATATTGTACAAATGTTATTTTCTATTTTATGGTTCGATATGGTCTGCTTGATTGGTATATAAACAGAGTATGTTTGAAATACAGGTTTCATATCGCAGAGGCTGAGACTTGTGAACTGGACTGGACTTAACTGACTGGGCTAGGCAGGAAGCAGGGCTAATCAGCATTCTAGACTGCTCGCAAGTGTTTTACATGTCATCGATAAGTCACTGCTCCTTAATCGGCGGTCACAAGTTATAACAGATATAAACACAATTTATTAAAAATATTTCTTTTATTTAATCTATAAATAAGCTTTGAATACTGTACAAGTTATTTGTCATCAAAATATCTTGATAACTAGAAGGTTATATTAAGATACCATATACAAATAACATCTCCATAGAAAACATTAGATAAATAGTGTTGATAAAATCAATATATGAATAACCGAAAACATAATTTCTAACTTTTATCAAGTTTATGTATAAATTTCAGTTAAGTAATTTTACATAGTCAGTTATATGTACAATATCTTCAATCAGAAATTCTAGATCTCTGTAAAACTTTCATTCAACGATCTTTTAAAATAATCTAAAAATATATTTTTTACATTTTGGATCTTTTCCTTTTAAACCGACTACACATTTAAATTCGAACTTCTTTGTAAATTCATAACCGATTTTTGAAAATCTCGAAGTTCCAAAGCTACAATAAATGTTAATTCTGCACAACCCAAAACGACGAACCATTCGCTTACTGCACTCCATACAAATTCAATATAACCCTGTATAAATACAAAAATACTATTTTATGATTAATCTAATTACAACTATGATTGTTATATACTTTTAAATTGCTAATTTAAGTTTATCATTTATCCCATAACTTTCAACTTTACCAAAGTAAAATATTTAGATGACAGTTACTACTTTATTGTTAGAATAGTATTATTTTGAATTAATGGAATCCCCTGGTCTATGTAGGATAATAGTGAAGTTTTCACATTCATTATAAACAACAGTAACAATGAAAGAAAATAAATGCCACATAGTTCATAGAATAAATTCTACCATCTTCGATAATCTTGACATTAGACTATGTGGAAATCGCCCTCTCACTTACGGATATATCGACACATACTATTGCTGAAAGTTCATGATATATTACTACTAATATCATTTTACACAGACAACCACGTGTATGAATTCGATTGAAAAAAATTCTGAAATCCTGAATCAACTGATTTCCAATATTGCCTATGAGTTTCTAGAAACATGACATTCAGACCAATTGCCAATCAACCGACACACTGAGATAGATGTGGTCTATCAACTTGTACAAAACTTTTCACAGTTGAATTCACGAGTTAATTCAAGCTAGACTACCATTGAAAACCTGGAAGTACTAAACTTTCGTTTTGTCGTAGTATAAAACTTCTAAGCAGTGTGGTTTCACGATCCCGAATGTGGGATAAAAATGTTTGATCAACTACTTGCTTAATGGTCAATCAACGAGGCTTTCAACTTTGAATACAAGGACAAATGAAGACAACGCAACCTAAGGAGATGAGTAATCATGAAGAAGACCATCGGAATGAACTAATTTAACCCTTGTGGAAGAACTAGGAACCTCTTTTCTGGAATAAGTTGTCAAGAACGACAACCGTAACTTATCAGTTAAATCTTCCTTCCTATAGAATTCAATGGCATCAATATCATTCATTTGAGACACAAATCTTGCCCAGTCATTTCTTATGAACCGCAAAGTAAGTTTTACCGGTCTGATTTGATTGGATTTTTGATTTTTTTCTCAATAACTGACTCCCTGAAATACATTTCATTCATATCAGAAAATCTTTATAGTTAACTTGAAAAGGACTTGAAAAGTACTTTAACGTTTTATGTTTGTAAGCAAAAACTCAGCCTTCAGTAATAATACCATCCTATACTTTGTCTTTATCTGAATAATTTGTCAATTTTAACAAACAAAGTTTGTGCTCTCATATATCACTTACCGATTCATAAGGTTTAATATAGAAGAAATCTTTCGCTCTTAAAACTTTAAGTCCAATCATATTGAAATGTACAACTGATAAATGAAAAATATAAGTTAACATTTTTAAAATAAAAAATGACACATTTATAATTAGATACATTCTATCAGCTGAATAACCTAATAAACAAAAGAAAAATTTCGTTATATATGTCTACAACCCTATTTGTCAATATAAATATTTCACAGATTGAAATCATGAATCATTTGAAGCTAGACCACCATGGAAAACCTGGAAGCACTGGACGGCCGTTTCGTCCTAGTATGGGACTCCTCAGCTGTACGCATCCACGATCCCACATCCTGCGAGATTCGAACCCAGGACCTATCAGGCTTTTAAGTTGACTAGAAAATTTACTCAACACTTTATTTTTGTGATGACATAAAGTAATTTAATTTTAAAAAAAAACAATTGTTCTATTTTCAGAAGGGGTTTTGTGAGTATTATAGTAATTTTGATAGTTGAGATCATAAGTCGATTGAAGCTAGATCTATGGTGGTCTAACTTCAATTGACTCATGATTTCAATCTGTGAAATTTCTAAAATCTCCACGAACCCTTTCTGACAATATAAATATTCTCAGTGCTTGTAGAATATAAAATCATTTACTTAAAATGATTTCATATTTACTGTTTCTATCGCGAATCGTAAAGATAGTCTTGGTTTATTAATGACTGTTATCACCATGAAACAAAAATAGATTTTTGCTTTTTGTAATCCATGCAAGATTCAAACTAACAAATTGTTGAAAGTCATTTTTATTGTGATTTCTCACGAACAAACTCATAGGAATTTCAACCTTGTGTTGTTACATAATAAAAGATAGCTCTCTTGAACAAAAAATCTGTATAAACGATGAAATATTCAGATTAGGAATTGTTTGTTTTTGTCATACAAGATCTGTGTATTATGTACAATAACTGATCGGTAGGGATTCTTAGTTATCAACATACCTAAATAAGATGAATTAATGAAATACTGGAACCTGAGGTACCGATAAACACATTGAATAAACAATCACAGTTTGTTAAGCTTTTCCATCACTGATTCACTGTTTATTTTAAGCATTTATTACGTTCTATAGCCATTTTTAACACTGATTTCAATGATTTAATAGTGCATTACCTATATTATCTATTTTTAACTATGAAGTCATAAACGCTGTTTCGGAATATCGTACTCTAAATTATTCACATTAGTAATATTATCTTTTGAAAGAAAATCATCATCTACAATCTGCTTGCTAAAGAAACATGCTTAATATTAAGAAGGGAAACAATCATTTGTTGTATTTCAAAAATTAATCAAACTATCAATAATGTAACCAGGTTTACACTGAGTATTTATACATTGAACTTCAAAAATTACTAACTCGTTTCGAGTACGTTGAAATTACTAATTATGATTGCTAATTTTACATATGATAATTAACTTTAGTATCGTATTATAGTAAATCAACATTGAAATAACAAGTATAACAAGTAATAAAAGAGAATATGGTGTCTCAAAATACTAAAGTATATGTCTCGACCTCATTGTAATATCATGCATATCAATTATTTAAGGTGTATATACTTGATGAACCATTGTAACGGCACTTTGCTTAATAATGTTTCTTTTCTTAAATGTCAGAATTATTCTTGAGACATTAACATATAATTTATTTCGGTAGTTGAGATCATGAGTCAGTTGAAGCTAGACCACCATGGAAGACCTAGAAGCACTGGATGGCCGTTTCCTCCTATTACGGGACTCTTCGGCAGTGCTCATCCACTATCCCACCTCGCGCGATTCGAACCCAGGACCTATCAGTCTCGCGCGTGAACGCTTAACGATTAGATCACTGAGCTGTCCGGCATCCAACGATGTTAATGTCTAACTTCTACTAATCCACAAAATTGAGCGACACATCCATCATTGTCTTCACTGATTTACTATACATTTTCGTCAAATATTAGTCAAATCATATTTCACGTATTGTGAAATCTTTGAATGAATAGTTGGTTTTCCTGGTATTTAAGTTATTAAAATTTATTTAAAAGCATATTCTTTGTTTATATTTCTTGTTTATATATTTATATATACTGGGAATTTTTGCAAGCAGATTTATGAATGATAAATAGAATATTTAAAATAGGTCCAATATTTTCAAAGTTTAAATTTCATTAACTATTATGCAAAAACTATGTATCGAATGTACTTGAACTTGAAAAAAAAGTTTTTGTGATATTGAGTAAGAACTTTTTGATGTTTTATAAACACTCACATGAAGCAGATGCCAGTACCATTTGAATAACAACAAATAGTCTTCCAAAACAATATAATATCCATTTGTTTGAAATACAAGCGATTACAACTGCTCCACAAGGAATTGCAATAACATGACAAATAAAATTCAATAAAGTCAAATGATAATGTTCAGCATTGTTCTCTTTTGTCTATTCAATTCATAATAAATAAATTAATTAAGTTAATAAAGTAAGGGTTTGAATAAATCTAATTGAAGTATTGGTAAATGACATCAAAGTTCTCTTGTTTCTCATAACTTGCTTTCATATTGAATCAGTTTATCAAAAGTTGTTTACCGGAAAAGAATTTATTCAAATTGTCATTTGTTCTAACTGAAATCACACAGTTTACAAGTGAGAACACGAAAATAAGCTACATAGTTTCTTCAACCAAATGATATAAACAATAACACAATCATAATGAATCGTATCAATTAAAATAAGCTTAATTTCTTATCAAGTGATAAGGCATTTATTTGTTATTTCTTATTTAGTGCAGCACTATCCTTCAACTACTCATTGTATCTGTTCTATTCAAAAAACGTAAGAAAATGAGAATGGGAAAAGAATAATTTAAAAATACTTGAAAGTTTAAATTCACTTAGTTTTGACAATTTATTATCTCTTATATATTCACTTTGAGTTGAGTTTTTGTACTCTGTTGTCTGAACTTAGATTTTTCTTAAAAAAACACCATTAGTAAATCAGATTGATATCAATACTCATAAATGAAAAGGCTGATAAACATACGTTAATAAAAGAAAGTCCGACTATACACATCCCAGCTATCGTCATAAATACCACAACAACTACACGTACAAAATGAAGTATTATGGATCTTCTCATTTTTCTTATTTGAACTCCAGCTTTCCAACACCAAATCCATTGACTCAAAGTAGCTAAAACACAACGAAACTTGACGTTTATTGTTTTTGTCGAATAAATAAATTACATAAATAATTTAGATAACTTGTCCTAATAACACAGAAAAATCAAAATCTTGTCTGTTATTTGCATAACAGAAACAGAAGTAAGGGTTATTGGTACATTATGCATTATCTCTATTTCATTCAAAGTTGTTGCTTGCAATGAATAAACGTCTTTGAAACTGACTAGTTAATACAGAAAGCCAAATTTTTCATTTGACTGGTTACCAGATTTGTTTAGACTACTTACTTGAACATTAAAACTATCCATTATAACCACTCTATATGATCCTCTGGTCTTTTAACAAAGGCTCCAGAGCTTTCTAAAGTTATTTTACTGAAAAATCACTGACAAATATCAGGGTATTTCCTTACACTTCAGTGTTCTTCCAGCCTCATCCTATCTGAAGACAAACGTATGGTTATAGACAACGATCGCTTTGATCTAACTAAGATTACTGGTATGCCAACATTTGTAAAACCATGAAAATTCCACAGTAGTCTAGAGAAAATTTTTACATTACTTGATATCAGTTTTATAAATCGAAAGCTGGAAAATTTGTCTTGTAGTACGATTTCGTATGCACAGACCTCATGAAGTATATTAATAATTGGCACTTAAGTACACTTATGAAAAGCATTATTATGGATAAATTGTTTAAGAGAGAAGTGTTTCTTTAACAAACCAGTAATTTAACAGACGAAATACTTAATCATCAGTATCTTCTTACAAGCTTTTAATCCCATGTAAAAGCATCATAAGGATTGTTTATGATTGAAACTTAGGTACGCGTATGAAATTATCACTATTGTATGCATGATCACATTCAAAGTACTTTAAGAATAAATCTCAGGTCATGTCGATGTCTAACGTACCTAAATTAACATTTAAATATATTGATGACGGCATACAGTTTAACCTACCCATTATTCCATAACTTGACATTAGAACCATGAACATGTATTTTTCCGGTGGATAGATACCAAGTGCGCTACAAATATTATTACATAAATGGCAGTTAATCAACAACATCAGTTTAGATTGGTTTTAAAAAAAATTGGAAGTGTAATTGAACAGTAAACTTGTGTTTCCTGTTGTCAAGATGTTTTCATTCAATAATTGGTTGAAACATTGTTAGCGAAGAAAACAGTAATGGTTTTCTAATATTCAACTAACTAACTTTCAGTAGAGTTAATATAGAACAGATTTACTTCGAAAATATCATGTAAATAAATTTTCCATTGAAAAATCAATTTTCACGTACGAATATGCGTGGAACTTTATTCAGTATTTGAAACAATCAGTTCATTTCATAAATGTTGAAAGTGTGTTGATGAGATGAAATTGAACTGAAGAAATGGGATAATCACTGATATCCTAAATAATACAGTTCTATACATAAACTAAATAAGGTCAAATGAATAAAAGCTCAGACGAATAAAAAATCTTCGAAAAGGACTATACAATAATAAGGGATTAAGTTGTCATACCCGATATTATTGAAATGGATTTAGGTTTACCCAAATATGCTTGATCCTTTGAATTCGACATTTTTATTCCTTTCGTAGCAAAATTTCTAGTCGTTCATCTGAGAATTTCCATACTTTAATATTTAAACTGGTCAAGAATACTTAATGATTACAAATGTACACTTTCGCAAAAGCTGGTATCAATTATATATCTTCCAAGTATACATCAGCTAGCGAAACGATTAACAAAACTTCCAAGTCTAATCTTTAGCGAACAGCCGAGACTATAATTTATGGACTATCCAATCAGACATATAATTTAATTACTAACCCTAATCAACTGTAAATCATAATCATTATTCTTCAAGCTGCTTTATAACCCCCATTTACTAAGTAGACGCTCCCAAGGTCACTTTGGCGTCTCTCAAAGGTCGTTCATAAATTAAAGTCTCACCAACGAACGATATGAGTTTTCTTCACAAAAAATTTATGAACTCATCTTGATGAAGATACAGAATAATAATTATTATTATTTACACTGTCCATTCAGAAAGATTTCATGTATTTAAAAATTATTTGATAAAAATCTGTAAAATGAGGCTGTTGGAAATTTAGCACATAAATATTAGTTTTTTTTCAAATTAATGTTGTGCTTTTAAGTTGCTTAGAAAATCTAATGAACACTTTATTTTTTTGTGATGACATAAAGTATTTTAATCTAAAAGAACAATTATTGTATTTTCAGAAAAGGTTTTGTAGATATTATAGTAATTTTAATAGTTGAGATCATAAGTCAATTAAAGCTAGATCATTTTCGCTCAATTTCGTGGGTTAGTTGAAGTTAGACATTAGCACCGTTGGATGCCGAACGGCTCATTAGTCTAATGGTTAATTTGGTTCGAATCTCGCGAGACGGGATCATGGATGCGCACTGCTGAGGAGTCCTACAATAGGAGGAAACGGTCGTTCAGTGCTTCTAGGTTTTCTATGGTGGTCTAGCTTCGATTGACTCATGATCTTAGCTATTAAAATTATTCTATTACCCGTTTGTTTTCTTTGCTTTTTTTGTTTTCTTAATGTAAATCATCATATTACACCTGATAAATCTTACATTCTGGATGTGTTTTATAATCTTACCTACTTACCTATTTCACCACATATGTTCAGTTAAAAATTATGCAATAATTTTGCATTGAGAAATAATATGGTCCTTGGTTAGTGTATTCTATTTATCTTCGATGAGTGCGAGATGTATTTTTCTATCATAAAAACATCATAAGAACAACAATTTCTGAATAGTTTCTAAAAGAGTCAGCTAATTGTGATTTTAATGACTTTGTTACAAGTGATACATTTATGTTATATGAAGTACGTGAAGAGAATAACTTTGCCAAATAAAGAATGAAATCACCTTCGTATTCATCACAGTCATTCAGTAATTATGTTACATAAATCTTGATAGTCAATTCCAAATAATCGTCGTTATTTAACAGGTCAAGTGAAAATCATGATCATTGCTATATGAGATTTTGCCGTTACGTTTTTGGACAAACACGATGAGGATGCATCTCAGTTGACTCTATTGAGGAGTACTTCAATTATAAAGACGTAAAAACAGTGTTCCAGAAATCTTTCAAACTAAAATCAAATATAATATTGATTTAGGAGGTTATTGAATACGTACTGTTCAGATAAATCATTTTGATTCATGTGAAAGTACCACTCTGTATATTTTTATTACTCTGTAGCATAAACCCAATACTCGCTATTGAAATTTACAAGGAACTATTACCGGTTTGCTGATAAACCATTTTTAGCCATTCTATAAGATAAGAAATGAATGATTCAATCTTATATTCACTTGGTTGGTTTTTAGCAATCTAGATACAAATTTTTTAATCACAAAACAAAAATGTGATCATACTAATGAGAAACGAACCTACCTTACATATGGTACGACTGGTGAAATATGGTCATTGGAAATCGCGATCAGATACCTTAGATTTGGAATTAAATTAACATCATTTTTATAAATGAGTGTGTAAATTAGAAAATCTAATAATAAGCAGTTATAATTAAATGATACTGTTCGTATAAAAAAACCCAAGGAATATTGGATAGCATGTTTATGTTTGTGTGGGATAATAATCCGCTTCATGCATTTAATATTCTCGAATCATGTATATAAACAAGCCTGTCTTGTTGTTCAAAGTTTACATTCATTCGTAAAACCCATTTTATTATAAACCTATGAGTCGATCGAAAACAGTAATAATTCTGTTGAATAGATCATTAAGCTTCTGTTCAGGATAGATTGAAATATATACAAAAGCCTGTTAAACACAGGTAATCTTCAGTATACCCCACTACATAGACAAGTTTGCATTTACGAATACTATGCTAGGATATCCGCATGTTTTTCGCTAATTTGTTTACTCTCATTCTGGTATATAATTATTATTACGTTCATATGCATTTTATCGAATCATTGATCTCTCTTTACTTCAAACAGCACTGAAAACTAAATCTATCTGAGTGTATTCAGAAGAAGAACATGATTCCAACGTGATATCAATCTAATATTTTCTGTGTGTTTTACTGGGTTTTTATTCATGAAGAATCATTCCTAATACACCTCCAAAAAATTATTTCCATAATTTTCTAATCGAATTCCCATAGATTGTTATTTTGATCCCGACTATAAACTAATGATGTATTTTCCGTGTCATAAGCTTCTAACAATGAATCTACGGTATATTTTTCTGTACTCTTACTCTGAATACATTACTAAACCTTCCTTTTCCTAAACTTCTATTCAATGACATAAGAGTCAAGATGAATGATTTTACGTTATAGTTCATGTGGTCATAAAATTGGAATTTAAAAGGGCATGAATTGTAAGTTGATAGACCATACTGTGTACACAAAATGGTATTTTTGAAATGACTTATCATAACATTGAAGCTAATAAAAGATCATTTGTGAACATTAAAAGAAATATTCCTAAATAATGAGTCTATTGAAGGATTATATTTTTCACAGAATTAAAATTCAATAAATCCAATACTTTGTTAATGATACCGAAATTATATGAACTAAATAATCAAAGAACAAATACACGAGTTTTACTTATTATTTAGATTTCATCAAGCAATACTTACACCATGATTCCATGTTATCACCTTCAACAAACTGTACTGACTTTTCAATTCTGATGTACACGAGTTGCATAACTCACAAAGGCTTATGAATTATTGTCATATTCACAGCACCAGTAAGGTGTCCATACTATGTCCACCTCGTTTTACTTAGCGTAGCAGATCCAAGACTCATCACAATGTTCCTACCAAGAATAAGTTTACCGTTAGTATTCATTTACTTTTATTCTTATTCTCGAACCCCACACATCTATTGGCCACAACAATGTTACATCGGTTTCTGTTGTACAGTTTAAGTAGAAATATTTGTAGACCAATATTGTCTTTTGTTTCATACATATCATAAGTATTAAATTTAGTTTGATTTATTGTTTTCCTTGTTCATTTGGTTACCTGATAAGTTTTCATTTCGGGTATTTACGCAACACTAATTGGCCTCTGCAAAGTATACACTTGTATAATTCCTAAAAAATTACAGTGAATCTGTGAACATTTTCATTGTTTTATAATGGTCATTATCACTTTATCCACTTCTGATACAGTTACATCCACTCTGATTCCGAATAAACGTTTTCAATTGTGACCTATTGAGAAATTGCAGAAAATATGTGTATGATATGTATGTGTTTTCGCATTTATCGAAATATGGATGTTCGACGTTTTATCACTGAGTTGTGGGTTTTAAATATTTCTATTTAATTTTCCAAGTAAGCAACTTTAAGTGTTGAGGTTACAACACAAAAATTATACTTACGTGGTTGGCAGCCAGAATAATGCGTGTATAACGGCGAATAATGGTAGTTTGTACCAAGCAAAATGACACAAAGCCATTGAGAGGAATATTTTCTGCAAGCAGTAATAACAGAATATATACGTATTAATGTTAGACTGGAAGACTTGAAGTTGTAGGTGGAGCAATTTTTTTCAGTTAGTAATGTAAGAAAATAATTTATTTTGTTCGAATTCTCTCTTATTTGAAAAAAGAAGTTACTAACAACAAAATTTATTATGAATTCACTATGTTCATTGAATAAGGTTCACTTCAATGAAACGGAAAAGCCTGTTGTTAATTTTACATGTGATAATCTTTAGTCAAATGGATGAATGTTGTGTCACTAAAAGACCTAAGAGGTGCATTTCATAAATTTATATAACAAATTATTAATTCTTCAATCTAAGAGTCTTGATAAACAATACTATAAGAAAACTATGTGCATAGCTTTACAGAAGATATGAATTTAATCTCCTCAGGATGCATTAAGTGTCAAATAACTTAGTTACTTACTTGCGCCTGTTACTCATCATCGTGGACGAGCATAGACGACCAATTAACATTCTCCATTGAACTATGACCTTGACAATCCTATCCAGTTCTATCCAGTTTCTATTCATCCTTTTATTTCTGTTTCCAATAGCTGATACACTGTGTCTTGATCTTCTTCTTTTCCGTCTCCTTTCACAATTCCAAGTTAGCGATTGTTCCGTGATGCAGTTTGATGATTTTCTTAATGTATGTCCTATCCACTTTCAACGTCTTTTCTTAATTTCCACTTCGACCGGAAGTTGGTTTGTGTTCGTGCACAGTAGTCTGTTGTTGACCGCATCTGACAAACAGACATTGGGTATCATGTGTAGAAAATTGGTTATGAACATCTGTACTGTTTTAATGATGGTTGTATTAGTTTTCCTAATTCCAGCTCCACACAGCTGAAATGCTTTGATGTTCATATTAAAGATTGTGACTTTGATGTTGTTTTGCAGACAGTTGTTTTGAGCTTCACATGTTTTTCAACTTCAGGAATGCTGTGATTTCTTAACTAATCCTTACCTATACATCTGCATCGGATCCTCTTTGTTCACCTATGGTGCTGCTCTACTCAAGGACGTGGACGTTTCAACCTCTTCCAGAGTATTTCCATCAAGTATAAATGGTTTGTTTGGTGTCCTCCACGTTGTATTACAGGATCTTGCTTTTCCCCTTGTGTAGGTTAAAGACTACTGATAAAGAAACTGCTGCTACACTATTTGTCTTGACGTGCATTTGTTGATTTGTATGAGTTAGAAAGGTCAGGTCATCTGAGAGGTCCAAATCGTCTAGTTGCATCCAACCTGTCCATTTTATTCCGTGGTTCTTCCCGGGTGTGAAAGTCTTCGTAATCCAGTCAACCACCAGAAAAAAGAGAAAGGGGAGATTAGGCAGCCTTGCATGACTCCGTTAATAGTGTGAGATGCCTGTGTATTTCGCACATTTGCTAAGATCTTCTTTCTTTAATATCTTGATGAGATATCATTCATTCCAGTCTGTCTGTTGGTACTTGTTCTTCGATCCAAACCTTCCTCAATAGAACATGGAGCATGTTTGCAGTTACTTCTACATCTGACTTCAATTCATCGGCTCGTATGTTGTTTGGTCCATTTACTGCTTTCCCGCTACTGAGTTTTCTGATGACTGCCCATCTTGATTTCTTCGATTATTGGTGGAGTGGCATCTATAGGAATGTTTGTGTGTGCTTCTTCGATGTTGGGTGGGTTGAGTGGGACTGGTCAATTCAACGGTTTTCCGAAGTGTTACACCCATCCGTTCATCTGTCCTTGAATTTCGGTGAGCGTATGTGTCCATTGCTTTTCCTAGTCAGCATATGTATGCAGCTTATTTTTGTTCTGACTATAGATATCTATTCACGCTTGGTTAGGTCGAGTCGGCTCACTCACCTTCACTGCGTGGCATTTCGTTTCGCTTCGCTCTCTCCTCTTCGCTTTATCTCTTCTTATTCTGAATCTTCATCTGGATAAGCGAATGCCGGAAATAAATTCATCCAACGCTACCTGTATTTGGCTGCTTATTACCGCAGTCAAGCAAATGCGGTTAGCCTAAATAATATACGGATTAAATGGAAAATCTATATTCATAGCATATTCATACATTCATCCAAATAGGAGTCAAATCAGTCCATTGCTTCTTTAGCTTCAGTTTCATCTTGGCAACCACCAGGTGAAAATCTGAAGCTATATCATCCACTCTGCTGGTTCTCGTATCTCCCATCGACCTTCGGAATTTTTTAGTGATGCAAATATGAATTGTATGCATTAACGTATTCATCTTTAAAACTACAGATTGCCTTTTTTTAAATTCAAGCTATTTATTAAGAGATTGATAATAACCAATAACCACTATTATAAAAGCATATCTGTCAGGAAAGATTGTGTTCGAATTTCAAACTAGTAGAAAACAACCCTACTCTAGAAACATAATACACTTAAAAGTACAATGTGGTATCAGATACTGAAGTACGTTGACGAAACAATAAACTGTTTCGTTCAGCAACTGACTGTTCTACAAAATGAATATCTTGAACCGCACTTGTATTTCATTCAATCATGTGTTGAGGCACAGAAAACTAATTCATCACTTTGAATTCCCAATACAGTGATTCCAGTAACATTTGGTATCACAAGATCGATTAGGAAAAGAGTTAACCGATTACAATAATACATTACCATTTAGATGTGAATACGAGCAAACAAACTACCTGAAATAGGTCAAATTCCCAATTCACTGTAAACAGAAAACAGTAATTCGCACGAGTATCATGAACAAAACAAGACTAAAAATATTTTGAGGTGTAAAATTCACTGTATTTATCTTATATGTACATGAATTCCGTCAGTTCTCTTTTCCTATCAACCAAAAACGTAGTTTCGAAGACCTGACAGTGTTTGATCACTCGAAACTCTTTAATCCGTCTGATTCTTATTAATACTTTAAAGTGATAGATGGTTTTGAGATACACTCGACGTGCATCGTTGATGTGGGTGCTGAATTGAGGACAAAAAGTGATGTAGACTGTAACTTAGGATGAGATTTCTTTTCAACAGATGATGTGATTTATTTCACGAACGAAAGAGTGGTATATACTTTCAGTTCTATAATTGCACTTTGATTATACCAAGTATAGATTTAGAAGAATAACATACAGATTGCATTTAAATTTGTTTAGTGTTCGAACAAATATGGTTCCATATTAGTGAAAAGAAATAATTTACATCGTTCTAATAAAAATTACTTACCGTGACTTGATCTAAAAATTATAGTTGTTGAGTTTGTCTACAGAAACTTTGATTGAATTGAAACATTCTACTAGTTTCAATAATGCATAGTATGGGGTGTGAAATGATTGAAACTGGTTTTAGTTTTATGTATTAATAATGCTAATAATAATGATAAGAATACATACATATCGACAGGATTGTATTTGTATATATATGTTTTCATGTATTGATCAGAACAATGTTTAATCAACTAGTTAAATCAACCAGTCGTAAACAATTATTAAACTTGTTTAGTGAAAACTTTTACTTGCAGCCTACAAAAGAAATCACGTATGAACAAATACATCTGAATACTCATGTAATTGAAGTTCATGCATTTGAAATTGACACGTTTTGCACATATTGACATTTCATGATAATTTGATAAATGCCTTCTGTTATAACTGATCGTCAATTATTATGAATTTGTCACCAATTGTCATGTTTGGTCGTCTCTAATTGTTATGTTGGGTTCACGTATTACTTATACTTGTAAAACGAGGTATCACTGCAACCCCTACGACGTGAAGTAAGAACGACAAGACTGGTACAAGTGAAAGTTTGTTAAACCTGAAACACGACGACCCTAGTCGAAAATACACTCATTTATATATTGATTTGTACACCCATTTACACAACAAGAAATAAAGCACACCCATTTTAATTAATAATTAGGATAGAATCATGTGTATGAAAGATGCCCAAAGTTATAACAAATCACAAACTCAGTGTCATGTTGAGCATAGTTCGTTTTAATTTGATACAAAAATATCGTATATTGAATAAAACATCACACTCAAACAAATTAATTTTACACCTAATAGAGTATCCTACACTGAATAATTATCATATTAAATGTTGAACAAAAAAGTCACATTGAATAAGAAAAAAAATCTAAGTTTGTTTTTTAATCCCATCCTATCATAAAGTATTGTCAAGTATTCAATATGTTATTGTTCACTAGTTTAATTAGTATTTTTCCGATCTGTATAAATACATAGTTCAACATGAAAAAGGTGTTTGTAAATGGTGATCGTGGGCTGCCTTTTATCAGCTGTAGTCAATTTTATTTATAAACACCGAATAATACTGAAATAATAATTCTCTTGTTTGAATATTAAGAATTTTAAATACTTTTACTATTAAAGTATATATGTTCATTGATTCACAATTAATAGTTAAAGAGAAATGATAAGAATTCCGTTAAGTATAGACGAGTAACTCATAATATCTACTAGTTAGAATCAGTTTTCTAACTACAACTACAAAATTCTCATAGTCGGTAGTAATATTCGAATTGTTGTTTAATTACAAAATTAAGAAGAAGTTATAAAATCAGTTCTCTTTATGTTTATCAAATGTGAATTTGAAGGCTACCACTACTCTTGACTATTAATGCGCTTTAACTATTAAAACTGAGCATCGACTTGAAATAAGCAACTAATAATATCGATTGACAGTGTTACTCTTAAATGCATCTGCATTAAAGTATACAATGTATTTCTATATATATTTCGGTGAAGTCAATTTGGAGACAACAAAAATTATTCTAGGCTTTTAAATGACTGGATTCCGAGAAAACTGACATAACATTAGGATTCATGCACTGGAGGTGGAATACTTACTTTTTTATGTATGTATAGAGAGATGATTATTTGTATTATCTGTCCTCTTAGTAGCAGGATAAACCACATGAGCTTAATTATTCTATTGTCACATATTTGCATGAAGTGTATAATATTATTAATCATTCAAACTATGTGCTAAAACTCTTTTTTCTATTTTCAAAATTCATGAAACCGATTCCGGTCAATCAAGAGTATTTTGTTGATGAACCATTCCTACAAGTGGGATTAGTGGCAATGTGATTACTGTAAATTGTAATCCCGGAATTCATATTATTTTTACCAACTTCTAAAAAGTATATATATTGCCCTTGATTGAATCTTACAATAAAATCTATATGCCTACTGTGTATCTGAGTTTTAGTGAACCCTGAAATTGGGCTGCTCCACTAGTGTGGTGTTCGACTGGATTATGGAGATCTTCACGTCTGAGGAGAACCACGGAATACAATGGACAGTTCGGAATCAATTTGAAGATCTGGACTTCGCAGATGACCTGGTCCTTCTATCATTTACACATCAACACATCCAGGTGAAGACAACCAGTGTGGCAGAAGCCCATACATCAATGGGTCTCAACATAAACAAAAGAAAATGAAAGGTCTTGAAATATAACAAGCGGAACATCAAACAAACCAATCGCACTTGATAGAGAAGCCCTGGTAGATGTGGAATCTTATCGATGAACGAGGAAGGTTCGATATAGATGCAAATGCAGGGATTGGCAAAGCAAGGGCCGCATTTCTATAACTGAAGAAAATTTGGAATTCAAAACAACTGTTCGCAAGCCAACATCAAATTTACAATCTTCCATACGAACGTCAAAACAGTTCTACCATACTGAGCTGCAACTTTGAGAACTACCACAACAGTTATCGAACATTTACAAGTATTTGTAGACAATTATCTACTCGAGATAATAAATATCTAACTACAATTGATTGATCACTGGGTGGTGATCAATGTCTTGCTTGTCTAGTCCTTATTAGTGCAGATCAAATGCTATCGATCATGTTGCAATGTGGCCACCAGTCTAGGTGACTGGACACTGCGGGCACTATGTATTGAGATTTAGATGGTGGTTTACAATTGATTGCTAACGAGTGCCAAGTAGCACGAAACCCGGGTCCAGGGTTTCCTGTTGACTACCTCCAACCACCATCTAAATAATAAATATCTCTTTGTCATATACCATCAGCAAGAGTGTATTGTGGAAGAGGACAAACCAACTTCCAAATGAGAAGGAAATTAGGAAAAGATGGTGACGTTGATAAGATATACATTACGGAAATCATTAGACTGCATCACGAGACAAGCGTTAACTTGGAATCGTGAAAGGAAACCAAATAGTGTTAGGCCGAAGAACACACTACGTTGGCTATTAGAAGCAGATATGAAAAGGATGAATAGCAACTGGAAAGAACTGGAAAGGATTGTTCAGGTCATAGTTGGATAGAGAGTGCTAGTGGGCGGCCTATGCTCCTTCATGAGTGGTAACAGGCGAAGGTAATTAGTAAACAGTAAACTTTCAGATGAGACAAACAGTAAGTGGAAGTTATATATGATTTGAAATATCTGACTATCAAATGTAAAGGTTTTCCAAGATTGTAAACTGAATTGAAATCTATGAAGTCATATGCTAGAATTTGTTTTTCATATATTTTCATCCGGTTTAAATTAAACTTCCAAATTGGAAATCTGTAACAATACATTATCAAACTCTTACCAAATCATCTGTTTCACTTCTTCATTGCATTCATTTGTGAAAAAAAAAGTGTTAACGTTAAATTAACCACATGATGTTTTAGAAAATACCAAATTGTTTAAATAACACATTATGCATTCAACATGTTTGTTACAAATCAATCAGTGATGATGTTTTATAAAAAATCAATAAATTTTTAAGTAAACATTGCTTACAAAAACTAATAGATAACTATCTTATCGGTACCATAGTGTAATAAATCAAAATGCTTGAAAGTCAAAATTGATTATGGTTTATAATTGTATGTACATGTAATCATGAACACTTATTATTTGTTTATATTAATTAGAAACAATTGACCTGATTAAAGTAACCATGATAAATAGTCTTGACAACTTTATCACGTTTTAGTGCTCAATATCTTATTGGTATTCTTTGACAAAATGCCTATTATTCATTAAAACATTTTATTGATCATTCTTCAAATGTATGTTTTCAAATCTATATATAGTCCCTATGTTATTGATCACATATTTAAACCAATAATTCAATGAGAGTTACTTTTGAATGAATCGTTTTCTTATCTTAAAGACCAGCAATAAAATAATATAGAGACTGAAACAATAAATGGAAATGTATATCCTTTACAGACTGTCTCGATATAGCTATTTTACCACAATTTTGTAGAAAAAATGTTTTGTGACTACTATTGAAATACGTGTAATATGTTGAAGATTGATTGTAAAACATGATGCTTTGCTCGTAACATAAGGCTACTACACTTCCAACTTCAACAAGCTAATCATAGTCCGACAAGATTTTGGGAGATTACAATATATTTTAGTATGTTCGGATGTGCTAGGTTACACCATCTTTCAAACGACCTGAAAAAATACTCCATCTAGACTGGAACATTATGTGTTGATTACAGTGAATTTACATCCACATTTTTACGGATGATATACACTCCCCCTCGTCATGCTGCTTACTTACTTATTCACGCATGTCATCCGCTAACACTATCCATCCAACTCTGTTCTGAACAATCCTTTCCGGTTCCTTCTAGTTGCTATTCATTCTTTTTTATATCTCCTTCCCATTCCCGAATCAGTGTAGTCTTAAGTCTTTTATTTTTCCGTCTCTCTTCAGGATTCCAAGTCACGGCTTGCCTCGTGATGCACGTTGGTGATTTCCTCAATGTGCCTCCTATCCACTTGCAAAGTCTTCTCCTAATTTCCTTATCAGCTGGAAGTTGGTTTGTCCTCGTTCACAGTAGACAGCTGCTGATGGTATCTGACAAGTAGACATTGACTATCTTGTGTTGTTGTTGTTTTGAGTTGCTTCGAGTTCCATATATTCTCCGATTGTAGAAATGCGGCCCTTTAATTGCCAATCCCTGCATTCACATCTGTATCGAACCTTCCTCGTTCATCGATAAGATTCCACATCTACCAGGGCTTCTCTATCAAGTGCGATTGGTTTGTTTGATGTTCCGCTTGTTATATTTCAAGACCTTTCATTTTCTTTTGTGTATGTTGAGGCCTATTAATGTATAGGCTTCTGCCACACTGTTTGTCGTCATCTGGATGTGTTGATGTGTAAGTGACCCCGAACTGTCCATTGTATTCCGTGGTTCACCTCAGATGTGAAGATCTTCATAATTCAGTCGACCACCACACTAGTGGAGCAGCCCAATTTCAGGGTTCACTAAAACCATATATATATATATAATACTAATCAATCAGTGATTTTCCATAATTCTTTAATGTATCACCAAATCATGAGACATTTTTAACTATCACCAACTTCTTTTTTTTTTTAATACAATCGTATTATGTACCCAGTTGATTTTGCTAAGAAATCACAAGTCATTTATTAGCGTTTACATTTAATAATTTAAACATTACAAAACACTACGTTTTGTCTACATTATGATTTGAATTATTTGTATAGAAATAGAATGTAAAAAGTACTTATTATTATTATTACTATAACTATTATTAATGGCTTTACTTAATGTAATATTTTTGGTACAATATAGAATTCTCAGTTCAAGGTATTTCAACAAGTTTCTTATACAAACAAAGCAAAACAAAACGAAAAGAGTGAAAGAAACTAATAACTGCATATATATATGCATAATTTAAGTAGATCAACTACCTGGAATGAAATGAAGTATTCGTTTTTAAAAGAATATTTGAATCTGTACAACTTTTTTAAAATTAAAAACATATGAAATATTAATTCACTTGGTATTGTTTGCTTATATCTTCCCACCATTATTTAGGACTGTAATCCATCAGTCTCTTATTGTCATATATGAATACTGTGTGGAGTGCTTTGATATTGCCTTAAATCACGGGCTTTATAGGTAAAGATGGATATTGGCGCGTATTTAATCCTATTTGAGATTTATCAGTTTGATGTACCTGCAACGCAGAGTTGATGTTCACTCTGAGACTCGAACCTATCGTGTTATCTACTCAGCTACTGAATCCTGATAGCTGTCTGCTTGTGCATTGGGGTGAAATATTATTTTTTAAAATTTTTTGTTTGTTTGTTATCATATTGTTTTTAAGTGATTTATGCGGGTTTTTTTAATAGCCTTAGGATACCTTGAAATTTCATTAACTTTTACACTTGAATATTTCCACTTAACTATTAAATTTATAATGAGATAACAATCTATTTATTTTGCTTCCAGGTTTTCCATGGTGTTCTAGCTTCAATTGACTCATGATTTCAAACAGTGAAATTTCTAAAATCTCCACAAAACCCCTTCTGTTAAAAACTATTTTTTGAATTATTCATTGATTAACTTTTAAGTTAACTAAAAAACATTGGGATTGAATAGAAAAGAAAATCAACATTATGTGTGTTACCGACAATTTATATTATTCATAATTTTAATAAATAAATAAATTACAAAGATAATTAAATTGAGAGCAAGTAAAATTTGTAATAATAAATTATTAACAAAGATAAATTCATTTTTGATTGAGATCATGAATTGATTGATGTTAGTATTGTGTATCGCGAGGTGGCTACTCTAATTTCTACCGAATGACCAGCTTCAGATATCCCAGTTCGACTCCAATACTGTTCCCAATCAGAACACGAACCGTAGATGAAAAATTCTTTATGGGATCAGGAGCCGAATAATGATTTACAAACAAATGTATATTTATACAGTTAGGATTACTATAAATATTGACCAACAGAAAGATAACACGTGAAATAATATTGACCAATGGGGAAATGACACGCGAAATAAATATTGATTAGTAGGGAAACGAACAATAGGGAAATGACATCATTAACGTTCAAGGGTAGCATTCGACTTAACCGGATAATTGTTTTTGGGATATTTTTCTGAATATCCCAACAGTTAGACCATTATTGGAAACCTGATCTAACATCAATCGGTTCATGATCTCAATCAAAAAATTTTTAATAATAACCACAACCCTATACTGGTGAATTCATGTTTACAAATCACATTTGAAATAAATGATACACTTACTTAAAATGTAATGCTCAAAAGTCTTTTATAGAAATGGTTTAGTTTCACAATAAATCGAGAAGGAAAACTTTACAAATTCATGATCTAATTGTATTTAATCATTAGCCATGTGAGTCAGATTATAGTAATTTCTGAAATCGGTAATAAGTGATAACAATTGAAATTACTTGTTTCTTTGGTCATTTAACCATTATTGGAACATAGGACACTAAATCAGAGATATTTTCTGGGCACTCTTTTCTAGTTCATTGTCTTGATGCCTGGCTCTAATTTCCTACGTCCTGGGTTTTTTGTTTTGGCTTTATTCTATCTGTCTTAAGGATTTCAAGTTAGGTTTTATCTTGTGACACTGTTTAATTTTTTTTCCTTAAAGAGTGTCCTATGCACCGTCAGCGTTCCTTCCTGACTTCTTCCTCAACTGACAACTCTTTCACCTTCTATCGTATTAAGTCATTACTAGTAGTTTATGACCAATCGATCTTAAGTATCTTGCGTAAACAATTGTTTATAAATGCCTTTACTTTGTTAGTGATAGGAATCAAAGTCCGATAAGTCTCAGCTATATACAGTAGGACTATTTTAACGTTAATTTCGAGAATTGTAACTGTTGTCATTTTTGATGTATCTTTTGGTTTACAGATGATCATCAATAATGGGAATCCTGTCCTTGATTTTTTTATTCACATCCTGACATCTGCAACACGTTCTCTTTGTTTGCCACTGATGCTTCCCAAGTAAGCAAAAGCTTCCTCCTCTCCTAAAACTTCGAGGACTAGCGTGTGGACAAATTCACACCTTAAGTTACTTTAAACTGTATCTGCCAATATACATGTAAGTGCCAACACACGTATATTAGAAGAATAGTAAGGTAGGTCAATGTCCGCATCTCTGAACATATTCTACAGAAGCTTAAACCAAGAGAATAACAAATTTTCAATAATGCGATCTCACGTCATCTGCTTAATAATGACCATAGTTTTAATGTCTCTAAGTACTTCAAGATAACTAATAAAGAAACAACGTCAAATTTATTGCGGTTTGCCAAAGTATTTTCCATAAAATAACTAAACCAAATTTATACATCCAAAAACACTTACTTATCAATTACTTTTTGCCGTGGTGAACTCATTCATCAGCGTTTGTAATGCGATTCTTCTTTTGATTGTTAATTTTCACTTTTGGTCTGATATGTACTCAGTAAGTCAGTTTTGTTCTAAGAGCTACATAACTGCAACGTTAATATTTATTTTATTTCTAAATAATTCTGTTTCTATGTTCTTAGTTGTTTATTCTGCCCCCAAATGCCCTGGTATGGCCGAGAGTTGGGTGAGCCCGCCCTCCCTCTCGAAATTCCCTCACACGGCCATACGTATACAGTCTCTGCCAGGGAAGTCCTACTCACTGCCTTCTCGTGTCAGGGGTGTTGTTTACGAAAATGAGAGGATGTCCAGGACTTTAACCGGATCCCAAACCAATGGTGCACATGGGCTCCAGTATCCTGCGGGAACAAATGGTGTATGAACCAATTGTTGGTTAGTGGCTACCATGGAACTGCATCTCCTCACGAGGCTCCACTGCCTTGTGGGTTAGACCTTTAGGTCAAAGGCTTGTGGTGTGGCCCCTTAAGAAAACCACCTGCTTCGATCTGGGCACCCGGCAGTAACACAGCCCACACACAAATATAATGAAAATGATGGTATTAACTGAGAACTGTTTTCTCGCTTCCATTTACAGTCAAACAGTTCTTCTTATTATTGTTGTGATGATTATTATTTACTACGTCATTTATTGACTCTCTTTTATTCCCACTTTATGTATCCTTATTTTTCGACTTATATAGCAGCTCGCCTATGGTGCACCCTCGGTTCTATCTAAACGTTCTCGAGTAACTACCTGGTTAAAAATTGTATGGTACCGCCAAATACGAATACTGAAGCAGTTTTTCTGAAACCATGTGCGTGTGGCGTATATATATTTGGTGCTCCTTTATACCAATATTTATGTGTTCAAATAAAAATAAATAAATAAATAAGTTGTTTATTCTGGATCATCCTTAGATTCACTCTATAAATATTCATACTTATTGCTTTTTTTATTAATCTTCATTGGTGAGAGATTTTCTAAAATAATATAAAGTATGTACACTGATTTTTAATGAATACTACCATTAAGTTGTAAGTAGCTGACGAGAAATCATGAAATATAATGAATTCATGTTATTCTGTTATGTTTATTGTTCTTGCTTTAGTTAAATCTTTGAATAGGGAAAATTGTATGTAATACTATTACTAAATCAATCAAAGTACACATTTATAAACACTTATCACTCAATAATCGGTATATTTACAAAGCATCATGTAACTGATTGAAGCATTTTCTACTCAAACTGTTCTAAAAAATAGAGTTTATACAAATTTCGAACTAAAACAGGTAAGTTATTACCTATACAGGTGTTGATAATATTATTGATAGTCGGAAATAAAAGCTTTAAAGACAATTTCATAACCGTGTCATTGTGTCAAAATTACTTCATACAAATTACTTCAAGTCTGACTATATTCAAACCATGTTTAGATTATTTCTGACGATTAAAACTTTCACAATTAATACATCTCTACATATTGCGAATTATGACGATAATATATGATTAACTTCGTAACAATTTGTTATAACACCATTATATTTCTATTTGAATAGTGTTATACCTTGTGCCTTGTATCCTATTGGTGTATAACGTAATGATACCGCCAATTAGAGAGCAGTACTTTACCAACCGGATCAATGACGCATAAAACCCGTACGTGCAGTCTAGAGTACTTACTTGTCCAGCTACCTACTTAGCCCTATCTGTTAAATCCAGAACACCAATCTTAGCTTCTGCGATGTGAATCATTTATTTTAAATATTCTGGGTTTATATACAATCGAAATAGACTACATTGTATAATAAAATAGAAAATAACATTTGTACAATAATTAGCCAAATGTGGCTGTGAATGTGGGAGATAGTAATTGATAGACTGAGTATAACCGAAGAACAGTAAATCGTATAATAATAGTTCATAGGTCAAAATAAAGCTCATAATAAGAGGGATACATATATGAATAGTTTAGTTATTTAACAAATATATAATAAAAATAAACGTATAGTATTAGTCAAGTAATAGATTCCAACAGTTACCATTCACTATTCTCATCAGGATATAAGAAATAGAGTAACAGATTATGACGGTATATTGATTTATAAAAGGAAATAAATGAAAAATGTCAGTTTTAATATTAAATATTTGACAGCTTATAATTACAACAATCTATTTTTTTATTAAAAAAATACTCATATTACTATTATCAGCATTAATCTATTTTACACTTTGTAGTCATAAACTTCAAACTGTTTTCATAGTTCTGCTTTTATTTTTCATTGAAATATTTTAAGTAATCAGAAGAGAAATTAACAAACTGTTTAATTGTTTTTTATGACATTTTATATTAGTTTTGACAACATACAATTATGGATCATTTTTTATCTAAGTATTATTTGATCACTAAATTGAACTGTTGTTCTGATGAAGTTTTGTTCTCTGAGCTGGATAGTTTGGTCGTGGAGATTTCATCGTTCTTCTGAACGACATCATCAGCACAAACTTCAGATAGAAGTGAAGTGTTCAAATTTCTCCATATGCGTTTCACAGCTTGTTCTGTACACCTATACGCTGGTTGGTTCTCATTGACCTTAACTTTGTCATTGTTTACTTCTTTGTTTTGGTTGTGTCTCCCATTGGTTTGATTTCTGTTCCTATACTTGTGCATAATTTTCCTGATTGGTTGATAGACTGTATCGATTTCAATGTGCTTGTTGATTGCTAATTGACCTGAGTGCCAGGCTTCTAAAAATTCCCTGGTGTTTTTAGAATTTCCTCTGTCCAAGATTTCCACATTTTCCAATCGAATGAGTGTCCACAGTTGTCCACGTGTATTGATATAAGTGAGGAAATATCATGGCGTTTGACTGCTAATTGATTTTCATGTAGGCGAAGGTGAAGGGGGCGTTCGCTTTGTCCGATGTATGGAGGAATTTGAACACTTCACTTCTATCTAACGTTTGTGCTGATTATGTCGTTCAGAAGAACGATGAAAGCTCCATGACCAAACCATCCAGAGCTGAGAACAAAACTCCATCAAAATCATCCACCTTAGCTACAAATCTTCTCCACCATGAACTGTTATTCATAATTAACAGTTTAATTGTCATATAAGTTATGAAAAACTGATATTTTATTAATAGAGATGGAATTCTGTAATAGATGACAAGGTAATATTCATTTATTGCGTGTATGCATAATATATTGTTGTATGTTATATAAAGTTATAAATAACTTCTAATATTTTACAAGTTGTCTGTGTTGTTTATTTAAAGGTATATATAGTGCCCGCAGTGTCGAGTCACCTAGACTGGTGGCCAAATTGCAACATGGTCGTTAGCATTCGATCTGCACTAATAAGGACAAGACACGTATGACATTGATCACCACCCAGTGAACAATCAGTTATGATTACATCTCAGTCCTACAGGAGGTTAGTCGCGGCTCGGATAGCTCAGTGGTAACGTCTCTGACTGTGAAGCTGGGTGACACGAGATCGAATCCGCCAGGGAGCACCAGTTCCCTCAAGATTACAGGTACACCTTGCTGACGAGTGCCAAGTAGCACGAAACCCGGGTTCAGGGTTTCCTGTTGACTACCTCCAACCACCATCTAAATCTCAGTATCATTTCAAATAATTTTTAACACTATAAGTTTATTTTGTTAGTTGAGTAAAGGTCTATCTTAATTGAGTTACATTACATAAATACTATAATGTCATGAACAATTTGTTTCAAACTAATCAGTTATTTAACACAATGATCATAGAAGAAAAAATGACACTTTCATATAACTACTTATGAGTAGTCACAAGTGCTATAATGTCATTAAAAGTAATAAGTTCAGAGTTATTCAAATGTCACATTATTTGAAACTTATTTTTCGACTACGAAAATGGCTTCAAATGAAGGTATATAACACTGAGAATTTGATTGTGCATTCTGATGAGTAAAACTTAAAAAAATTCCTTTGAAACAATCTTAATATCGATTATCACAAAAAGTTATCAGTTTTTAAATACAAACCCTTACGAGCTTGAATATGCAAAATTAAAAACAATAATTTACCTTTGACCTTAGTAAATTTGTTTATCAGAAAGGGTTTTGTGGAGATTTTTACAAATTTCATTGATTGAAATCATGAGTCAATTGAAACTAGATGTACGGTGGCGCAAATTCATTTATATCAAATGGATTGTGATTAGCAGCAGGATCCATGATGTGCGTTTCATCCTGCTGCGAACTTGTCGTCTGGATCTATATCCATCCATGTACTTAACAGGACCTTTATCAGTATTTTTTTTATTACCTCACCTTAATGCTGAACATTCATTAGTATAATTACTTGCTGAATTTGTAAGTTAATTTAGTTTCAAAAACTTTACACACCTTTTCTAGATAAAAAGTATTAAGAAATGGACATTTTTTTATTTTGTCAACATAAGATTAGACTGTTTTTTTATAAACAATTTAAAACACTAAATAAATGTCGTAGAATCATTGAAAGCCAAGATTCATCCTTTATCCTTTTTATTCCACTATTCAACTAATAAATAAATCCCATATATGTTTATATTTAATTAAAACTTTAATTTTCCACTTTATAAATTAATGTCAACTTTTTGTTTAGTTTTGTTTTATAAATATATGGCACTTTTCTGGTTAGCGGCTTTTTCTAGTGGGTTTGTTTTTCTACGGAATGGAGTCTCTAACCCTAAGCCCAACCCTCTTCCTTTATCTGGGCTTGAGACCAGCAGCAGCCCGATAGGGGCCCCAGGCGGAGTTACAATTATATTGTATTATAGTAATAGAATATAATACGTGAATTCATTTCCTATATTGTATATCGTATGATATAAAAATATTTATTTTCATATGGTTATTACAACTGAATAACGTCTTATTGATGATGATAATAATAAGCTGAATTTAGAAAAAAAACAGTAAAATGTTCTTGGTATTCAAGTATTTCTATATATAAAGTTCTGGGGTTGTTTTCTATGGTCTTCTAAACTGATGTATTTCCCACATTACATAACTAATTTATCAAGCATCATAAATAATACAAAAAAATATATTTGCAAACTGATATGAACTAAAATTGATTTGATACATACATGCAAACAAGTTGAAAAATTAAACAAAAGGAAGATGCCTATTTTTGTTTTTTTATAAAACATTAAAAAGTATTTACTTGTTAGTTGTTTTCTTTGTATAGTAATATTTGGCTACAAAGTTTATAACCACCCAGAATATAACAGGGATAGTGACTGCAAAAAAACTGAATATATTATGTTGTTTGAAACCAAAACTCAACGGTTCGTTTTTAAACAAAAAAAAGTATTTAAAGGAAATTTGTCTCCGTGATTACTGAATGTTAAAATAATTTTTATCACATCGATTATATCAATATTTAGGTATGAAATAGCAATCAGGGTTTTTTTTGTTTCTGTACAATTTATTATCATTTTCCCTTACTGTACATCAGATGACATTTTACGATCAATAATAATAATTATTACTATCATTATTGTTAATGTCGTTTTTACTATTATTATTATTACTATTCGTAGTAGTAGTAGTATTAGTGTGATGCGTGCTACTTATATTGATACAAGTAGTATATGACGCGAGTCAGGAATGTAATGTCTGGCAGCAGAAGATGGGGAAGATCAAGAAAGGAAGAGCGGGAATAGAAAACGATTAGTATGAAAATGCAAGAACAATGAGGTTCGAGGCAATTATTAAACATTTTACAAATTAAGTATAATAGTATGGTTTTTCTATTTTACCAAGTAACGCTGAAACTTTGTGTTAAATATAATTTGGTTGTCCTTACTTGTGTTCTCCTTCACTACAGTAGTAGTAGTAGTACTAGTAGTATTAACTGTACATATATTACAATTTACTTTTCCCAAAATCACTTAAGCTTACTGAACGATGCTGGATGTTAGCAAAAATCAATTATGATCAAATTTGTCATTATTGAAGCTCATTTATAAATAACAGTAGAATATAATATACAATTTCAAAGTAGTCATTAATTGCAGCAATAGCGAAAAAAAACGATCACAGTTGAAATATTTAAAAATTTTAATGTTTTTATTTACCATGGAAACCTGAATAAATAAACACGTGCTTAATATGATTATAGTGAAAATCTAGTCTAAAAAAACAGAGATGTTTTACTAAAACAATGTCTATTAACTTTATATTGAAATAATTTGTATAACTTTAACTTCATATTTTATATTACTGTAAGGGATTTACAGTACTAATGGACAGAACATTTCATCAGATCGTATGTATTTGTGATCATCAAAATTCTTGCAGATGACAATTTATTTGTTTTAGCAATTATTTATTCTCGTTATATCTTATTTGTACTATGAACGTAGAAAGAAACGTGTCATCACTGAATGATTAAAGTTGGATAGTGTTAAGAGTTTCTGTCTTATTTGGGAATTGCCAGCTAGAGCTTTATTATAAACACCAACATATCGGCTCATGTAAATTCGAATGACTAATCCAAGAATAGACAAAACTCTCATTCTAGTTCTCATTACTAACCAAAATCAATCTGATATAAATGATGTTTGACAATATTATAGTAATCTATTCAAGTTGGACATGTTTTGATAGTGACTAATTAAAATCCAGTCCATTACAAGAACAACGGGCTGATTTGAATTCTCGCAAATTAATAATAATATTATGAGGTACTTTTAGTGATATTGCGTTCTTTTAGCTATGTGGTTTAATTACAGAGTTCTCGTTGTCATTTTGCACAATATCATTAGCTCCAATTTTGCATAATCATTTCAATTATTACATATTATTAGACACGTCACAACCTCTTGCTGATAATTATCGTGTGCTTACTAATGGAGAGCTTCTAGAGGAAAATTTCGGAGTTTAAATGAAAGGCTTTGAACAACGGGGTTCATCCGTGTTGGGTGTAAGGAAGATATTCACTAAAAACAATGAAAGATGGTCACACGTTATAGTACGTTGATTAAAAATAGATTTGTATACCAGTTGTTCCTAGCTTAATGGTCTAGATGTTGAAAGTTCACACTTGATACTGAAGTCCCTTAGCTATATTACCGATACTCACTGCTGAACAGTATCAAACTACAAAAAATATCCGTCGAGTGCTTTCAGGACTTCGATGAATGTTTGACTTAGATTGGTTCATGAGAACGATAAAATTCAACAATTTTTAAAACCCTTTATCATATTAATTAATTAGTTACAGATACATTAATTGATTTTCACAAGGAATTTCACTAGATGGAGATGACACAGATTACAATCAGTAACAATTCATCAATACAGTCAAATGAATTATCTACTGATAGAGAACGATAAATGCTAATAAATATTTCACTACACGAATGCTAATTTGCTTATTAAAACCTTTGACAAGGATTTACTATTTTGTTAATATAGAAATGGAACTTTAAAAATAGTTTACTGAATCTATTAGATCAAAAGTAAAGGAAATAAAATTTAAATAAGATGAAAGTCATTTTATGTATACAACTATCGAACAGATAGTTAACTCCAATATAGATCGATTATTGAAATAAAAGTTCTTTTTTAATCATCAAGCTAATGACGTTCATTCAACTGCATCTTAGGTTAGAGATTGTGGGGCTATACTAATCATTAACCTACAGAAACAACCGTTTGTTGAATGTATCATTTACTAATTAGTGAATGAGTATTTTGAAATAGATTGTTAATGATGAAGTTAAACCTTGAACGTTAAATCTTGAATACTAACAAATACTATGTGAATACTTTTAACTGAAATAACTCTGTTTCTTGCATCACAAGTTGAAATAAATTGTTCACATTATTTATGTTGGAGAACGAACACGGGAAACGTATCATCACAAAAGGTGCATCGTGAATTTCAATCAAGTAGTTGATACATTTGTAATCAGAGAATGTGTATATCAAGTTGGTAATTCCATATTGTTTGTGATCTACACATTAAGTTTCACCTATATAATCGTCATTAATATGTGATGAACCTGACAAATATGTCAATACATATCCGAATATTAATTAAACAAGAGTGATTACTAGAGATCAAGTGAATACACTAAATATCCATGAGAACCGGAAAACTACAAAAATGAAAAGATTTTTTAAAAACAACTTAACAGCAGATAAACAAGCTACAAAATTATGATAGAAGTCTATCTGAAGTTTAATTCACTTGATATTGTTTTTACTTGAATCTTCCCATTGATGTTTTAGGACTGAAATTGATCAGTTTCTTGTTTGCATATGTGCATACTGTGCGTATGCCTCGGTATTGCCTTAATTTACAAGCTTTATAAGCAAAGATGGATAGTGGCTAGCAGTGGAATCCAGGACGCGCGTTTCGTCCTGTTTGGGACTCGTCAGCTGGATGTACCTGCATCTCAGAGTTGATGTTCACTCTGGGATTCAAACTCAGTACCGTTCGCTTCAAACGCCATCGCGTTATCCACTTAGCTTAATTTAAATTATGGGCTTTACAGTTATATGTAGTGCTTTTAATAATCTTATGTAGTGAAATGAATAATCTTGTCACTAGTTTAAATTACTTATCTCATTTTTTAAATGTTCCTTCAAAGCTCCACATAAATTGAGTCGGAACAAGAAGGAAAAACTTTAAAAAAGTAATCAAATTTAGAGCCTGAACGAATATGGATGCAAAATAATATGAATTCATTATATTTCATGGTTTCTCATCGCCTGCTTACAACCAAATATCTGTCATCATTTACATTGAGGTAACATAAAGTGTGAAACAATTGACATCATCGGGTGAAATTAATTGGAATGACATATATTTGTATATATGCAAGAACAGGCTGGAGGTTATTTGTTGTTAGAATGAAAAAAAACATGAGGAATGGGTGATATAATATTTACCAAATGTCAAAATGGGAATTTTCACAATAATAAATAAATTCATTTATTAAGGCCAAGGGAGAGATAAGGGTGTTACAAATTTCTTATGAACACAAAAACTTGGGTTGTTGACTCAAATTCCTATAGCTTCTGCTATGTGTAAGAGACGAGATCGAACACCCTAAGGAAAACTAGTAGGAATACGATTAACTCATAAACTACTTTGACTGAATTAATAATTTCGAGTATGCATATAAATATTACTGTATATTAGAGTAAAACCTAATGAGTATCTAATCGAAAACAATATTGTATATATATATATATATATATATATATATATATATATATATATATATATATATATATATATATATATATATATATATATAGCTCTATATTAAAATATACTCCAGATATTATTATAGAATTTATTTACTGAATTTCTACTGGTTATTTAATACAACTCAACTATACTATGAACCTATAATCTGTCATTTATATCTAACCAATAAATATCAAGATAACATTTCGTTATTATTTTTTTGGCTGATAAACAATAATTCATTCTTACGTAATCTAGTGAAATTATCATTACAAATGTCAAATTGTCGACAAGTACATTTTTTTAAACAAATTGTTTACAAATGAACATTGATAAGTTTGTTTGTTTGTTAAGTTTATACATAAACTTATCTACATAAATTTTATGAAAAATATTTAATTACGTAATTTTAGTTGCTATGACAATAATGGTTTATTATTATTCAGAACAATAACTAGTAATCTATATTCAAGTATACATAAACTATGACAATAGAGATAAATCGAACTATTGAATATACCAATGAATTTTTAAATTCTCTACCTTATAAATCTACATCTTCAGAAGTTTGTTTAAATACATGTGAAAATATGCCTAAAGAGAATGAATTAAAAACAAAAAAATTAGTAAGTTTTATACATAATTTGTCATTATGAAATAATTCTTGGTTATATATCTGTTATAATTAAAGAATTCCAAATAATTTGCCATTAGAGATTAATTGTTTCATTAAAATCTTGGTGTATCAATCATTGTTTAACATTTGAGATGGTGGAGAAGATTTGTAGCTCAGGTGGATGATTTTGGTGAAGTTTTGTTCTCTGACCAAACCATCCAACTCAGAGAACAAAACTCCACCGAAATTGTCTAACATTGTTTTTTAAGACTTAAAAGATTGATTGAATAAGCATCATTTGATATCTTACTAATTACATTTAAAATTTAGGTAGTTGTGTATTGATAGAGAAGGAGGGGAATGGGAGAAGATCAACTTATTTACACATTTCCAATAAACCAGAAAGTTTAATTTACTTTCACAATATAGTCTTTTATAGCATAATATATTCTAATGCATAGATTTTCTCATTTTATTATTTTTATACGATACAGTAACGAATCTGTTAAGGTTTATTGTTAATTTTATTCATCTAAAATGTTTATGTAGACAAGTATTAAATGATTTCTAGTTCATTTTGTTACTTTTATTTTCGTGTTATTGTAAATAATCGAAGTTAAACTTATTATTTATGATTAAAAACTAAATACTACTGTAGTGTATTCTAATGATGTTGACGGATATAAGTAGTATATATCACCAATTGAAAGTGAAATGCCTAGTGGCAGAAGGTTAAGAAGATCGAAGAGAAGAGAATGAGAACAGAGAATGATTAATGTGGAAACGAAGGAACAATATAGTCTGAAACAATTGATTAAAATTTTGCAAATGAAGTATTTACTGTATGATTCTCAGATTTTACTAAGAGATTCTGTAATTGAGTGTCCAAATACATTTAATTGTCAACACTGGTGTTCTCGTTCACCATATTATGATCAATTTTAAGTTAAGATAAAGAGATTAACATTAGCATTGAAAGTATATTTTAATCATAAATTAAAAAAACAATATTAGTATTTTTAGTAATATTAGTATTATTTGTGGAATGCTGTCGTTTAATTTTTCTGTCACTTGAAGTAGAACGAGTTACTTGTAAAACAATGCCATTTATTTTAAAGTCCCCTAATTAATACTTTGTCATACCTTAATCTATCTTTAAACTTATTTATACAAGTTATCTTACTAAATCATAAACCCATCTTCTCATAAATTTACGATCATATAGAATGTACATTTAAATTAAGATTATTATCAGTATAAGGGTTGGCGAAGATTGTTTTCAATGATGTTCTAGCTTAGATCAACTAGTGATTGCAACTTTGAAAATGCTACAATCTCCACAAATCTCTTCACTGATAATAATCATGTGCTCACTAGTGAATAGCTTCAGAATGGATTTCCTGAAGTTCTAGTGAGAAGCCGTGGCTAGTGAAGTACAATCCGTGTCGGGTTTGAGACAGTCAACCACCTTAGACAATGGATGAAGCGTTGTTCAAGATCATGGATCGCTCGAAGTTAGACATCAACACTATTGGATGACGCCTCAGTGATCAAGAGGTGAAGCGTTCTTGTGCGAGACTGAAGGTCCTGTGTTTCAATCCTACGTGCAGGATCGTGGATGTGCAATGATGAAGAGTCCCATAAATGGTTAAAAAGGCTATCCAGATCTTAAGGGTTTTACATGGTGAATAGAACTCATAAGTTCTACAATAAGATAAATCAACTACTCGGTAATCCATATATCTCAATGTTTGCTTTGCCATAATAAATCGGAAATGTAGACAATCTTGAGACTGAACAATCTTCAGAAATGCACAACCTTAAATATGCCAATGCAACAAAATTGAGTAAAATTGAACAAAAATGAGAATATGACATAAACAGAGTACAGACACTAAAAGATCAATGTAAATTTGTTGCAAAGTTCACTTTCATCTTAAATACGTAAACTGTGAGTCAAACAATAAAGCCAATACCGTTTCAATATGAAATTCGAAGTCTAAAATATGAATACCAACGGCTAAAAGAAGTTGGCCACAAAAGTAATATACTCAATAAATGAAACTTAAGTTGTGCTTTGGACTCGATAAATGAATAAAAATATATGTTTATTACTTGATATTTTGTTGTCTACTATATAGAATGAGCCTGGTATATCTTTGCAGATTCGTTTATACGGGGAATTCTCAGCAAGGCCGGCTTATCTTGTTTTAAAACTGTAGGTAAATTAGTAGATGTATATAAGTATGGATAAATTAAATTACAACTAGTGAATAAATATGGGTTAGAAGCTTCATGTAATGAAAACTGATATCCAGTAAATGTAACTTTTTGCAGTAATATAACCTTAACAATACATATATTCTACCTTTAATGATATACATTAGTACTTTTCATCTGTATAAAACAGTATTTGCGTATTACAGAGCATGCATTTAAAATTTGATGCATCTTAAACTATTCACATAGAAAGCTGTTCCGAAATACTTCTAGGGGCTGGTATTATGTCAAGGCTACATAGGTTTTTCTAGCCTTTGGACGAATCAATCTATTCATTATTCTCAAGCCTAATTTTTACCCTACCACTTATTAATCACGACTGCTTTCATATGACCGTATGTGTGCTAATTACTTACCTTACTCATTGTGTCTGTAACTTATTTTTGTTCGACTATGAAGATCAACTCATGCTTGGTTAAATTGAGTTGGCTCACTCTCCATCTCCATTGTGCATCATTTTGTTTCGCTTCGCTTTCCGATCAACGATTGTACCAAATATACATATTCAAAAATTCATTCTGGTATTTGAATTATTTAATTCCATTATTTACGAACGCAATTTTGGTCAGTGATGATATACGAAGATTGACAACATGTATATTTTGATAACAAGCAGTAAACGATCTACCTGGAGTCAGATATATGGCGTTACCATTCAGATCTACGAAACAATCCAGCGACTGTTTAAACGAAGGCCTAACTCAATAATATGATGTGAATTCAGATGTATTTGTCTTTACAATATATATGAGATACACTTATGTAAGGTTTATAATAAGATAAGAAATAGCATTAGAAGGTCTTTGTTAGACATTTTTTTCCAGTTCTTACATTAATCGATGTTCTATAGCCCTCATGACAAGAAAATATATTTTCCCCATAATACATTTCATTATTGAGTTGCTATATAAATAATCCATTGATTTGAATAGTCGAACGACCATTATTTAATACGGTTCCCCCTTTATTTGTAATTCTTGTCAGTTCATAACACTTGGTTGGCGAAAATCATCTCTTTCATTGTTACAAAACTTCACCAGAGTTTAGTGAGGAGTCGAACAATTTTACAACATTACCAACTATGTTATCAGGAGTAGATTAAGGATGAACAGCTGTGCGAATGCTTATTTCTTTAAGAAACAACTTGCTAGATCATTCGTTTTAAATAAACGTTTATTCAGAGCTTTTCTAGTAGATTTTCATTCTACAATATTCATGATTTTTACTCTTTCTTATGCCACTACTACTTTATTGATTTGTTTATGTTTTCAGTATGTTAACTAGTTACCACATTTCAAATTCCAGTGAAATACGATTTATGGAATTTTAGTTTTTGATCTTATTATACTTTTTGATCAATAACACTCCGTATTGTAAAACTCCACAACAATACCTCCTAGATATTAGTGGCTTGCAACTATATAGAGTAACTTAGTTTGGTAATTTTAATTACTATTAGCTTCCTTCACAATTTTATTTGTAAATTCTATCGACAATAAATAACAACAGATATTTCAGTGATAAATTTACATCACAATCCACTATCTTTGCATTTATATGTTTTTATATTATTTTCTTTTGTTTCATTTTCTATTAATGAAACCAGGTCCCAGTCCAACGAACTTACAATGAATGTATCCTTTACGCTTTAGGTGAATGGAGGTGTGCATGTCTTACAACTGTTTTGGTCACAGGTATTATTTTAGTATCATCATGCGGTGTTAAACAACTGAAAAATTACATGAATTCATCTCAATCAGATACACAGTATTCTATTTCATATCATAAATACGATCAAAATTTTCAATTATTGTGTCAAACAAGTTCTCTTCTAATTATTAATGGTTTATTATTTCTAGTCTATTTAATTTATTTAATTGAATCATGGCAATCAAGAAACTGGATACAAACAACATGGTTAATTGATACAAAAATGGCATATAATTTAATACAGAATGCACATAAACTTATTCCTTCTATTGTTTGGCAAATCAAATGTTATCATTATGCTCATAATACACCACAATATTATAATCATTATCAACAGAATCCAATACAACAATCTACAACATTAAATGAAATTGATCTAAATAAATCAATTCAATATTCATTTATCCATGATCAAAATAATCAATATCCATTGAATTCTAATAAAATCCCTAAACTTTTATCTCATTCTACTAAGAATACAAATATAAATCCAATTAAATGTCATCGTATTATAACAATGAATAAAATGTGTTCATTTGATTTATCTAAAATTGATGCAATATGGGATCTATCAGATAATATTAGTGAATTAGATAAATTTCAATTAATTGAATTAAATATAAAAACATTATTTAGTTTTTCTGATAAAAAAACTTATTTAGAATATCAAAGACAAAAACAAGAATTTTTTACAACTTATGAAAAATTCGATGTTTACATGGAAACTGAACAAAGTTAGTTTTTTTTAAAGATTTTAATCAGAAGGGGTTTTGTGGATATTATAGTAATTTTAATGGATGAGATCATGAGTTAGTTGAAGCTAGACCACTATGGAAAACCTGAAAGCAGTAGAATGCCGTTTCGTTCTATTGTAGGACTCCTCAGCAGTTAGCATCCACGGCCATCCAGTGCTTCTAGGTTGTCCATGGTGGTCTAGCTTCAACTGACTCATTATATCAATCATTGAAATTGCTATAATATCCACAAAATCCCTTTTGATATTGATCAACATATGCTCACTAGTGACTGGGTTCAAGAGGAATTTCCTGGAGTTCTAGTGAGAAGCCGTTACCTGTGGAGTTCAACCAGGCCTGTTGTGAGATAGTAACTCACTGATGACAATTGTGGATGTGTCGCTCAATTTCGTGGATTTGTTGAAGGTAGATATTAACATCGTTGGATGCCGGACGGCTCAGTGGTCTAATCTTGAAGCGCTCGGGCTCGAGACTGATAGAGCCTGCGTTCGGATCTCGTGAGTGGTGGGATCGTGTATGCGCACTGCTGAAGAGTCCCGTAATGGGAGGAAAAGGCCGTCCAGTGCTTCTAGGTTTTCCATGGCGGTCTAGCTTCAACTGACTCACGATCTCAATCACTGAAGAAGATTGTTCTTAATATTTCATTATTATTTAATAATGACTTTTTATAGATTAAAAGTTAGACAAAGGTCAAAGGAGAGTTCATTTTCAATTTAATATGTGCTTTATCATAAAATCTAAAATAGCGAGTAGATATAACATGTATTACTCTACATGTTTCTTTTTTGAATATAGTCTCGGTTATTCCATAGTTCTGTAGTGAACAGAACGCCAGTGGTGACAAATGAAAATATTTGACAACAAATTACAGTACTTGTTACTAAAATCTAACAATCATATAGTAAATGCTTAATTTGCAAAATGTCCATTAGTTGTCTCAAAATGACAAAGACTTCATTGTTTTTGCATTTTCATACAAATCGCATTCTTTTTCCATTCTCTCTACTGCCAGACATTTTGTTCACGACTAACGTCATACACTACTTATGTCAATATAAGTAGCACACACCACAGTTCTTTCGTTTTATTTTTAGGTTCAAATAGTTTAACTGATTATTATGTTTATATTTTATCGTAAGCTTGATATTAATATTGTGTTTGATCAAACTAATAGAACAACTCTGTAGCATAATCCTTATTATTACAAGCAATAAATGTATCATCAATATATCTTCCGTAAAATTTTGCATATTCGATTTCTTGATTAAGTTTTGTTTGCTCAAGATCAGCCATAAAATTGTCGGGTAAAATAGACCCTAGTGGTGATTCTATAGGCCAGCTCATCAATATCTCTGCATAACTGATCGTTGAATTCGAATTGAACCCCTTTCGTACATAGTAGTAGTAGTATACTCAATTGATCTTCGTGCAAAGGAAGTGTTTTAGAATGCTGGTACATTAAATTTATAGTTTATTCTATTAGTACATTTATTCATAATAAAAGACATCAAATGATATAACAAATTAATCTGATATATCCACATGATTCCTTTCCTCAGAGACGTATAGGCTGTCATTTTTCTGAGAATTGGTTCCAATAATTTCACTTGTCATCAAGCCAGATTATAAGATGGTGAATTTCATTTGTGGACTTTATGAAGACCATGCACGAAAAGCAAGTCTGTTCCATTAGCTTTAAGTTCATTTTAAGTAGGACAGTCAAACAGATTCTTCTTTAGAAGTTCTTTAAGGTGTTTGGTAATTAAAACTTCAGTCACCACAGAGAAATATTTTTTAGATATATCAACTTTAAGTCCCAATTAATAGTTTAGAACTTGAAACATTTTTTGCACGCAGTCATTTAGATTCGTCATATCGATAACTGAACCTTTTACTGTTCTTAGTACAACAACCTTACCATTATTTTGTAAATCTTTTAGTGTTAACTTATGTTAACTTACGTCTGTTACTCGATGTTGTGAAGGAGCATAGGCTGCTCACCAACATTCACCGTAGAATTCTATCCTGAGCAATCCTTTCCACTTGCTTCCAGTTGCTATTCACTCTTTTGATGTTTACTTTCGATTCTCGGTGCAGTGTGTTCTTTGGCCTTCCACTTTTTTTGTTTCCATTTAGGATTCCAAATTAGCACTTGCCTAGTCACGCAGTTTGATGAACTTTGTTTGGCAAACGATATTCAGATCATCAAGGAGCTTATTGAACATAGCTTGGATTTCATAGTTAAAATATGCTTATTAGAACATTCTATATGTGATTTAGCAATTCGATATAATGTAAATTCAAAGCAGTTTACAACTGATAAGAATCCTTGATATATAATAAATTCATTTCTACTCTAATACTTAAGATCTAATTTTTATAAAGTTAATTGTTTAAATACCAACAAAATTTCAGTACGCAATTCACATTTTGTATAATTTTAAATTCACTTCTTAAGTATTATTATTATTTGAAATCATGAGTCAATTGAAGCTAGACCACCATGGAAAGTCTGGAAGTACTGGACGACCGTCTCGTCCTAGTATGGGAATCTTCAACCGTGCGCATCCACGATCCCATCACCCCTGAGATTCGAACCCAGAACCTATCATTTCAACTAATGAAATTACTAAAATCTCCAAAAAACCCCTTCTGATATTATTATTGTTATTATTATTAAATTTTCTAAGCTTATTAGATTGGTAAGTTCAAATAATTACATCATTCGATTTCTTTCAATTAACTTCAAAATTATTTAATATCATATTATATATTTACTTAATGGTGATCATTTCTTTCTTTTAACAACTTTTTTTTCAATAGTTGAAATCATGAGTCAATTGAAGCTAGACCACCATAGAAAACCTGTAATCACTGGACGATCGTTTCGTCCCACAATAAGACGTCCAGTGCTTTGAGGTTTTTCATAATGGTCTAGCTTCAATTGATTCATGATTTCAATGATTTAAATTTCTAAAATCTTCACAAAACCCCTTTTCTAATCATTTTTGTTATTGTTTTGTTATTTTCTTTTACAGTTTGTACTTTTACAAATTTTATGAAATTTCCTAAAAAATGTCTTATTATTCATCAATCATCAAAATTACCATTCTATTTAAAAGATTTAACTTATATAATAGCTACACTTCTATTATGTTCATTACCATTAAGAATTTATATTTATGCAAATAAAGCTAAATTAAATTGTAAAATTCATAAAATATTTGGTTCTAAACCAATAAATTATTCATTAAATACAAATTCATTAATAAATACATTTTCTAATTATACTATACCATCATTATCAAATCATAATTTAAATGGTATTAATCATAATAATAAATTACATAACAATAATGAAGCTATTGTATTATTTAATAAACATATTTTACATAATACTACTGATTTAATACAAAATTATAATAAAAAATATAAAATGATTTCAAAAAATTCTTATGATTTCAATCATATAAAATATGATAATAAAATTAATATTAAACATAGTTCTATTGAAGATGAAGATCATCATCATCATCACCATGATGATGCTGAAGATGAAGATGATGATGATGAAGAAATATTATCATTGGATATACGATTTGATGAATATATAAAAAATAAATGTATTAAAAATGATAAATGGAACATAGAAAATCATTATAATAATTATGAATTAAATACTATTTTAAAAAATTCTAATGTTGATGTAACTTCTGTGTGAAATATATTACATAATAGTATCTTTGTTATTAAAATGTATATTCTTTAAAGTTTTAACGTAAATGAATATTTATATCAAGTGAACTCAAAAGATGTAAACTTATATTAAGAAAGTATTATATCCGAGCGAAGATTAAATTACAAGTAACTGCTGAGACTTATTAATGGATTATTATTATTATTTATATATTCTCATGGTGTAAATATTCGGTAACTTGATTATGTATATCTATATTCCCCTTGTTATAAGCTTTATTTTGACCTATAATTTATTATTGTATGATTTACGATTCTTAAGTTATGTTCAGTTTATTGACTACTGCCTCCCACATTCACAGTCACATTTGGCCAAATATTGTACATATGTTATTTTCTATTTTATGGTACGTTGTGGTCTGTCTGGTTGATATATAAACCGAGTATGTTTGAAGTAAATGATTCATATTATGGAAGCTGGTATTATGTTCTGGACTCAAGCGAACGGGCTAGGAGGACATAGGACCGATAAGGACGCTAGACTGCTCATACCGGTCGAACGTCATTGGTTTGGCACAGTGCTAAGATTATATAAGTCGTATTTTGATTGGTGGATAAATCATGTGATAAAGAGCCGGACATAAAATCATAACGGAAAGGACATGTGGTTCCCATTTCCATGTTAAAGTTCAATTACGAATGTAATTGATGTAATGTCAAATGGCTATAATAAACATTTCTATATATTTCACATAGTTTGAAGCAAATATTTCCAAGCTTTTTTTCTAAAATAACTAACTTTACAAAAATGAATAAGAACTTTCGTTTAAATTTGATTGAATAGTTTCACAATATCTGGGCGCCGAGTTAATATGAGACATTAAAGAGGAAGAATGTATTTATAAAATCTTAGCGAATGAATTTTGAAGTAAATCCAACGTTATGCCTGGCAATCTGATTTCGTTTTCACACTACATGTCTCTTACACCATAATGTAAATACCTACTTTAAACATTGTTAATGTTGACTGGATGATTTATTCAGTATATAGTAAACCAGAGAACCTTGTACCTATTTATATTCGATAATTTCGTTGTTTGATTATATTTCCTTGAAAAAGCTTAAACCAGATTGTCAAGTGAAACGTTGGATTTACTTCAAATTCATTCGGTGAGATCATAGAAATAGATTCTTCCATTTTAATGTTTTAAAAAAATGATTTAATTTGGTCAAGATATACTTTATTATTGAAAATCGTTTTTCCCCATTAAACTGCTTGCGTTTTTCTGGTTAGCATTTTTTTAGCGAGTTAGTTCTCTACGGGATGGGGTCGCTAACCCCATGAATAATCCTCCTCCTTTATTCGGGCTTGGGACCGGCAATAGTCCCAGAGGGGCTCCAGTTGAAGTTATTAAATTGCTTGAAGCAGTACGTTTTCTTCGGTAATCATTTCCAGTATATGAAAGCAATCTATTACAAATGAAGTAAGAACTTATAACATAATTTGAGAATATAGAAACTTTTTCTGTTTCTAATATATTTTTAAATAATGATTATTATCAGATAAGCGGTTATATAAGAAAGTCAAAACAATTGTTGATTACCATCTGTAAGGCTTGAGCTTTGATTAATGTATGTTACACATAATGTCATATGAAACAAATGATTACAAAACATGTAATATAATTTTTTTTTAAAAGGTTGTTTAAGGTTCGTCATAGTTGCATCTAATTCATTCAAATAAGTAGGTACAATCATAGTAGAAACAATAATCACCTGACAAATTATTTACCTTCCATATTCTTCTTAAGCCACAATGCTTAAATTGACCACAGCAACATTGTTAATGAACACTATAATATTGTGTTGAATATGATTATTAGATATTTGTCTAAGAACTAGTCTGGAGAATCACGAATGTCTTGAAAAATGTTATTACTGAATTATTTATCCTGTCTACTAAAGCGTTCAAATACAAGGCAATACCAGGCATTGTAATCAATTATGTATAATTCGTATCCAGTTTAAGTGAGTTCACTGGTCATCTGTTAAGTAGGAAATCGAATTCATACATCAAACTGGATTTTCTTAACTGACTAGTTTACTCTTGTTCCTTATAAAATACGTAATTTTTTGGGTTTCATGTAAACACTACTCTCTTTCTCTCCATTCAATAGTTTTCAATAAAGTAGTCCTTTTGATTCAAATAAAGAAATTGCATGACATAGAATTCAACATAGGCACTGTTTAAAGGTTGTACTATTAGTTGAATCAACTGACTCTGTTTATATGATATATTACAAAATACATATTTCTTTGATTATTAGCTTTTAAATTACTGTATATAATGTTTTAATTTTCATAAGGAAATGTAAGCGAAATACTGGTCACACACAAAGCTCTCTTAGTTTGAAATTGCATAAAGCATCTTGTAAACACTGTAATGTTTCATAATTACGAACAAAGTTTACAATACAGTAAAACTCAACAATCAGTCAGTCAATAACAACGTAGAACTTCGCACGTACGTACATCAGTTCGAGTTGCCATACCACATTAGCACAGAGAAAACTCAACAATAGAATAACCAAAACAAATTATATATATATGCAAGAATAGGTGTTAGAATCAAGGAAACAGTTAAGGATGTGTAATGTAATACTTGCAAGGAGTTCAGAGACAGATAAGATAAATTGTGTGATAATTTTAGAGGTAATGAAAGATTCACAGAATTAAAAACTGATAAGATAGGTTACGTAATAATTGAATAGTAATTATTCAATGAAAACGTTGATTTTTTATAGTAGTTGAAGAAATATACCCTTTTATTTCTATTGGAAAATTTAAAAAAAATAATTCACGTATATAAACATGTGAACAACTATTTTCATCAAAATAAAAAAAAGAGGAAACGTTTTCTTCATTGTAAAATATTCGAAACAGTTTATTACTTTATAAGTGAAATCATGAGTCAATTGAAGCTAGACCACCTTCAAAAACCTGGAAGCACTGTTCGTCCATTCCGTCCTAGTATGGTACTCCTCAGCAGTGATTTCAACTATTGAAATCACTAAAATCTCCATAAAACCCCTTTTGATATTACTTTATACTTGATTAAAATAATTTAGGGTAAAATAAAAATAGATTTTTGCTTAACCAGCTTCTGTGTCCAGAATAGATGATTAATTAATGCTTGCAAATATATGAAAAGTAAAGTAAAAAGTGGAAAAAGAATTTCGGTAAATAAGTGAACAATATTCTCTTAAACTTTCTTCAAATTATTTGAAATATCTGTGATGACAAGTTGATTTCTTAATTACTGATGTATTGAACAGAACACTAGTGGGGCCAATCGAATGTATTTAACACTAAATTACAGAGCATCTCAATAAAATCTGAGAACCATATAGTAAATCGTTAATTTGTAAAATATCAATCCATCATCTCAAACTTGACTGTTCCTGTTGCAAACATCAATCCATTGTCCCAGATTTTATTGGTCATGCGTTTTCATACCAATTACGTTTCGTTCCCGTTCTTTCCTCATCGACCTCCTACATTATATACCTGACCACCGTTTTATACTACTTGTGTGAATATAAGTAACCCACGCCACAATGATAGCGATATTGAGATATCCGTGATAATAATGACTAAAGTAACTTTAAATCAAGGTAATATGAAAACCTGATAAGTGGTTCATATTTCAATGCGAAAGTACCCCATGTAATGATATGAACAATGAAGCTAGTAAAAAATATAAGAAAATAATAGTTGTTAATAATCAAAATGATGTAGACGGAATGAAAGCATATTGGATTTATCATGCAGACAATAAGCTAAGAAAATACGAAAATTATAAATCAATACTGCATCACTAACGAATTATAAAGTGTATTTTCTTCCCTTAGATGTTAAACGAATGATAAAACTATTATGGTACCCACAGATATGTCTTAAGTTTATACTCGTATCTACTAAGTAATCTAAATTCAAAATGCATTTTCCGTTGTATAAATAGTATATATAATTTATATGTATTGCTATACAAACAACATTTCTGAATGAATTAGAGGAATATATTGTTTTGAATGTTACACATTTTACCTGAATTACTTCACACTTGGAAAATATCAAATAAAACATTTGTCTCTGCTTCAAGCATTCAAACGTTATAGTAATTGGTTTTAACATAATTATATAGTCAGCAATTTGTTTGTTTAGAAAAACTCAACTTTACATTAAAAATTACAACTTTTGGTTTTTTTTTAGTATTTAAACATAAAATATAAAACGGTTTTCCTACATATTTAACGTTTTTTTAAGGTTTGGGGTTAATTGATTAATCAAGGTACAATGTACAAAATGAAATTCATTGATGAGCATTCTGTAGACATTAGCAGAAAACAGTTCTGTCGTTCACTTATCTTTGCAATGTAACAAGAAATAGGCTATTTAGTAATACAACTTGATATTCATAGGGACTTGTTTAAATGATCCCACTGAATTAAACATAAATACAAATAATATACTATTATATATATAATTATATCATTCACCAAAAGTACTTGCCTTAGCTACCTTTCTGATGACATATTTATGTTGCTGATTGCTACACTGACCTTTTCAAAACTAATCGTTTAATTGTATCATAATAACCCGGATTATAATACTTTTCGAACGCAAATGTTCAAATAGAAATGCCTTTCATTAATTACGGTATACAGTAAAATTGTATGATGTTAAATTTATTTATAAAGTAAATAAACGTTGAAAGTGATAGTCATCAATTTAAACTGTTAATATTTACGATCGTGCTTGGTATTAAACCTAGGGCATTCAGATATCATCATCATCATCATATAAAGGGCTCCTGAACTAAAACAACTGCCCAATGCTTATTGAATGTCAAAGTCATTCAGGTTAAGATTAGTCCATAATAAAAACAACTTTAAATAACATTACCTTCACAAACCTTTAGTTTAAAGTAGTTGGAAATCAACGATGTATATTTTCAAGAAACTTACTTTTGTTTCTATGTGAATTATTGATAATAAATCAAAGATTGTAATAATATGAATAGACATTTATGCTGTACAAAACAAATACAGCAAGCTGTAAGATAAAAAAACTAATCACACTATATGTTGATTACTACAGTACATTCACAAATCTAGTTCATTTGAACACTTAATAGTCAAAATGGATTGTTAATAAACGATCAGATTTATATTATTTGTAAAAACTATATTTGAAATAATCTTTGATTGGAATTTAAATAGTTTCAACTTTTCGTCGAACAAACTTGTTCTGATTTCTTTAGGGTAATAATCAGAATTTTTCGATTCTTACTTTGAAGAAGTTCGAACAATTTTGTCGGGTGAAACATTGGAATTCTTTAAATATCAATCACCGTGATTGTATTAAATATAATCTCCAAAAGTAATATCGTCTATATATTCGGCACCCGATTTGTCAAACTATTCGGATACAATCAGATTCATAGTTATATTCTATTCCAATTGTAACTGTCAGAATATACTACTGGTTGTTAAATGAATTTTCAAATATTGATTTCTTTATGATACAAAATTTATATTTGAAACTTACTTACTTATGCCTGTTACTTCCAATGGAACATAGGACGCCGACCAGCATTTTCCAACTCACTCTGTCCTGGGCCTTCCTTTCTAGATCTATCCAATTTTTTCCACTTTTCTCATATCTGTCTTCGTTTCTCGGCGTAATCTGTTCTTTAGTCATCCTCTTCTCCTTCGGTCTTGAGGATTCCAAATGAAGGCTTGCCTTGTGACTCAGTCGGATGCTTTCCTCAATATGTGTCCTATCCACTTCCAGCACTTCATCCTGATTTCTTCCTCCTCTGGGACCTGGTATGTTCTCTCCCACAGTAGGTTGTTGCTGACAGTGACTGGCCAACGGATCTGAAGTAATTTGCGTAGACAACTGTTAATAACCACTTGTATCTTCTACAGGTTTCTGCCCCAAACAGTAGAACTGTCTTGACATTTGTATTGAAAATCCTGACTTTGATGTTGGCTTGCAGTCGGTTGTCTTGAGTTCCAAATGTTCTTCAGTTGTAAATATACTGCTTTCGCTTTACCGATCCGCGCCTTTACATCTGAATCAGATCCTTCGTGTTTATCAATGATGCTGCCCAAATATGTAAAGAATTTTACATCTCCCAAATCTTCTCCGTCAAGTGTGATTCGATTGTTATATTTGAAATAGTAATGTTTATTTCATTTTCTTTATAAAAATAGGTAATAATAATAATGGTTAAAGGAAATTTATTAAACTTTCAAATACTTCATACATCTTAAGAATAATAACAAGAATAATATTGAAAAAAAATTTTATATCACTATTCTCAACGATAGATTAACTTTTATGATAACACACTTAGATTAAGCAATGCATACATCCTTACATTATAATGATTCTATTACTAACCATATAAGTAAAGATATATAGATACATATACATACATTGATAAAGATTGATTTATACCCAAGAGATAATTGAGAACTATAATTTGATACAAAGTACGTCGATTGAATGTAACAAAACTTAATTAGAGGAAAACAACTGATAACTAGAGAAAAGAGCATAGCTTGAATGTATATATGTAGGGAGAGGGAGATTAGAGTTGGGCACATACAAAATGGTTAAACATCTTCATAAACATATACAAATACATAAATACATAAAAAAATATTATTCCATCCCTTTTCATTATTCTACCATGATTAGATTGCTTATTATTTTTACTGTCATTATTATCCGTATTAATGTTATATAATGTTAAGGTGAAAAATAAACTGATTTATTTTAGAAATAATTCACCAATAAAGTAACTCATTATCATAGTTTACTCTTTTTTTTTATCATTTACATTTGATTATTCTTATTCTTTTTTTTTATTTTAAGAAAAGTTCCCTTATTTATGTTCCAAGAAGTGTTTCAACAAAATTCGATTATTTGATTGAGTAAAAAATAAATGAAAGAGGTGAAATTTGGAAAGAATGAATAAAAAGAAAGAAAGAGAAAAAAAGACAAACGAAAATGATTCTATAAAGATACATACTTACAATCGATTGTTCATCTATATAAATGATAATGTGTGTCTGTATATGAAAAGAGAAATCTAACAAAAATTTAATTAGTTTGCTGAATTGATTCTAAATAGGTATTTAATTGCAGTTTTTGAATCCTATTTTTCACCTTATATATATATATATACTTACATCTACAAGATAAATGAGTTGAGTTCTCTAGTCTTTCTTCTTATTCCTTTCTCTTTTTAAAGTAACTCTCAAGTGTTGAAAAACTCTCACAATGAAATGGGTTACTGAAAACAAAATAAAATAGTAGTTAAGAAACGAAGCAAATGTTTAATTAACTGTCATAAACTGACCTTCAAAAATAATAGTCTATAAAACATCTTATCAGTCAAAAGAATATTTCTTAGACAAAAAATAGAATTAAATGATTGAACTGGAAAAAAAATATTAGCAACTTCAATATAATTCATGTCAGATCTTTAAATGAAGAAATAACCGGGTTATCTGATTTTTGATTGTTCTACAGTTGACTGATTTTGTTCGAGAAAACTCTTTCCATACTAATATTCTCTAAAAACTTATTAGTTTATATAATTTTTCGTATTAAACGAATCTGAATGATAACGAAATAACTTTTCTATTTGAGTATTTCTGCTGAGGAGTCCCATACTAGGACGAAACGGACGAACAGTGCTTCCAGGTTTTCCATGGTGGTCTGGCTTCAATTGGCTCATGATTTCAATCAGTGAAATTTCTAAAATCTCCGCAAACCCCTTCTGATAAAAATGAAGAATCTATAGAAGAAACGGTATTGTGAAAAAATGTATAATTTGTTCATAAAAATATTTGCCATGTAAAAATTTTTCAGGTAAGTCAAAATATAGTTGAGGGGCCCTGCACACAAATGTGTGATATTAGGTAATGAAGTCAAACTTTTGATCTGAGCTATAAAGTAAATGAATAAAGTCAGTAAGATGGTTGTAGTCAGTGGTTTCATTCCTTAGTTAACATAGCTTCTTCTTAATCCTAAGCAATAAGATTATTTTATATCTATTATCACTTGATTTTATTGCCTAGTCTTCAACCAAATTATTTGAATTTTTGGTTTTCTGACCATCATAGACAGTATTCCGATATATTTTACATATCCACTGAAGCAATCTCAATAATAGGCCTTTTACTACTTATCATCATATTTAGAATTTACCATCTCTTTTTTTAAGTGTCTTGATATTACACAACTTAAACAGTGGATTTAACCAATAATATTATTTGTAAAAATTATATTTGTAATAATCTCAGTGATTGAAATTTAAGTAATTCCAACTTTTCCTTGGGCAAACTTGTTTGAACTTCTTCAGGGTAATAATCGAAATTACCAAAGAATATATAATGTTTAACAATCGAATCAAATCTATACTAAGTGAGTATCTAATCACGTTCAGATGTTGACTTCAGTAAGTTGGATAATATGGGTCAAATAGATGTGAAAAGTTCACAACATGAAAATAAATGAATGAGTAATTGTTTGCGTAGGTTTGTGTAAGTTCAAGTTAGTAATGGTTGATACTAAGTGTTAATTTGTTTATTAGAAGTAAAAATAAGAGTGTCAAGTGGATATGTTCTTAACATATCAGTGCGTATGCAAAGTGAGAAACGCTAGTTTATGTTCAGTGGACTCTATCACTTTGATTAGCTTAATGCTATCTGATATATTGTTAACATTTACATATATTTCTTCCAAACCACTTCGTAAAATTATGTACGAAACGTCAAGATTATTTAACCTTTAGTTGCTGAGATTATTTTAAATGTGATTCCTATAAGTAATTTCCTCTCTATACTCGGTGCCCAATTTCTGTCAAATTATTCATTTAAATATAGATTAATATTCTTATAAGCTAACCAGTAATATTTATTTAGTTTAGGTTTGTATAATGTATAATGGCATACTTTTTGTTACATTTAGATAGTCTACACAGACAGTTTTACGATAAGATTTTAGAGTATGCTTATGTTAATAATGACTCCTGTATCTATCTTGCAAATGCCAAATTATGATGAAATTAGTATAAATAAAAGACTTGAAAATAGATCTTTTCATGCAAGGAACATGGATCAACTTTTAGTGGGTCATATGGCCATGCTTAGAAACGTAACTGACATTTTTATTATTCTGCTATGGCATCATTAAATTTTATTAGTCACCCGAAATCATTCTACACCTCTTATTACATTTTGCCTGGGCTCGTATTAAATAAACCCTATTCATGTTCACCTGTATATCTCGATATAGGTTTTAGTGCAATACCTATATTTATTGAGGAATATAATAGCAAGTTAATACTGCTCAAATAAGATTATGTAAATCTCATTAAGACTACCTGTTCTTAGTAATTTACAGGTACTTCTAAATCATTAGCCATAAATAAAAAAAGACGTAATAACTAAACAGTAGAAAAAATTTCATTATGAAGCACAATTAGAATAGCTTTAGCTTTTCTAATAGATGTTTATGATTGTATTTAATCTACGAAGAATATTCATGCCATCAATCCAATCTAGTGCATTTAATTCATAGGCAGTTTAACCAAAAACAATCATAATATCTTATCATTAACTTTTATCAGAAAAACCTTCTTTCCATATCATTTTTTAATGATAAAAAACAATCACAAACAGTTTAAGTAGCCTAATCCTGATTATTGATCGAACTCCAATGATCGATTTTACGTTCATCTAAATTCGTGACATGACAATAGTAACTGTTTGAAGTAACCGATAAAGTATTTTAAAGAGAACATCTACAGTCTCTTATTACAACATATGACGACACTGCTTTACGTTCCTGAGAGTCAAACTGTTTCCTGAAGATTAAAAAAAATCTTTTAGTTGAGTATAGATCAATAAAAAACCTAGGTCTAAGTATTTCTACTGATTACTCTCAACTATCTGACAACAAATAACTAATGAATGCTATCACAATCAGTAGTGTAAAATAATGTCTGGCTACACAAAGTGAAATGCACTCTCCATCACTATATCCTTCAAACTCTAAGAACCCGATATATATACTTCAAATATACAATAAATTATATTTACAAAAACGTCTAAAGAAATTTTAGAAAAAATCGAAAGTTATTGAATGATTCTTATGAGAAATCATCATCAGTAACGCAGTCACATGTACTACAAAAACGAGGTACAACTGTTCATTGGATTATTAATAACCAAAATGGAACGACTATCTAGTTTGATCACATGCGAGTAACACCTGTTGGACCGTCAAAGGAATTCGTTAATTCATCATCCAGTAATTTCACACCTTCCTTCAGTACGTCATGATTACAAAGAATCGACTCCAAAGGAGTTGTAAGACAAACTTCATAAGTTTCTTGGGGATGTGGCAGGGTATTACGATGCGGAGTAACCACAGGGAGTTCAGAAAGCTGAGCTGGCAGTGGGTCCGTAGTGAAATATGGATCTTTCAATGCCTAAAACATGAAAAAATAAAATTCTTCAGAACAAACAAACAGGATTTTGCGCTTATAACCTGATTTCATTGATTAGTCCACAGAACATTGATATCATTAAAAGTAATATGGAAATTGAAACCTCGTTTTATCCAAAACAAAGAAGGTATTATTTTAGAATTCGCTAGAACCTACAAGTAACAACTTGGGTTTCTGAATCCCACGCAGACAACAAAATGAAACATATGAGTAAGGAAAAAACACTTGAATTAATTTTGTAAAGATCACTACTAAAAAATGACTCAAACAACTATTTCCCTTATTCAACGTTTACACTGGTCCTAACTTTCTCACTCCAGCTCTCAAACAAATGTATTTATATGTCTAACTTCAATACATTTATGATATTACGCAACCATCTATTGCGTGAGGCAAATAATCACCTCACACCCGACATGTTTGAACTTTACATGTCATAGCTTCTCATTAGAACTCCAGAAATCGCATCTAGAAGCCAGTCACCAGTGAGCACACGATTATTATCGGTATAAGATTTTGTGAAGATTCTATAATTTTTAATCGATTTTATATCCCGAAACGATCTTAGTTAGGCTGACAATGAAAACTTTGAAGCATTATGTAGCTGTCGCATCCTAGTATGATGTTCCTAAGCAGTGCGCACACCTAACTCCGCAACTAGGAAAAGGAACCAGAGCATTCACTCTCATGAGCCAACGCTCAACTTCTAGACCAGTGAGCTAGCATCCGCGGTGCTAATGCCTAACTTCAACCCATTAGAATTTCAAATAAACGTTTGCGGGTTTGAATCCTCCTCCACATGTTTTGCTTTGAACATTTGAGTTGTGTCCCACACCCGCCGTCAAAATGTGTGATGTAAAGATACACGTACGGTTATTTGCCCTAGTACATACCAAAAAAGTAAAGTATGTTGGTTTACAAAACGTAGTTATACACATTATGCAGAATCATTTGTCACTCGTGAAGTTTTGAAAGATTTAAAATTATTGGATCCTAATAGTATGAAATACGACTGATGTAGTAAGCTACATAGGGATAAGATGTTAAATGATGGATGTACTGACGTATCAACTAACATGCCGAAAGGGAAATAAATAATGGCATATAAAAAATATAGGTGTCTTGATGTACTAAACTGTGAGGTAAGCTTATTTTTCAGTATTACTGACGCATCATGATTATGTCAATTCCAGTCTGTGAAGCACCTTCAAATGTGTAACTCAATAGTTCAAAGCAAAACCCTATAACTATTCAGAGACAGCACCATAGCATGTTTTAACCAGAGTTGCCTGATTTACCAAATCGAGTAAACCAGAACTAAAATAACACTTACTTCGGATACCGTGATTCTTTGATGGGGTGGGTACACCAAAAATTTACTAACAAGAGCAACGGCTTCAAATGATGCATCCGGAAGAACTTCCTCAAACGGGATGGTTTCGCACAGGTTAAAACTTATCTTGTTATAATCAGGTAGTTCTTTAACTTCCTAGAAAAATAAAAGAACACAAATCACTACCAAAACAAAAACAAAAAAAGAACTCGATGTATTGGAAAACTAAGAATAAATTAACCAATCATCGTTGTCACGTACGTTGAAATAAATGCCTGCTACAAAAACTTAGTAAATAAAGAGTAATCGTTTATTGTATGAAGCGCATATGGATAGTTACTACCCATGTAAATAATATAAACTTGAGTGAAAAAAAACCCGCTCTTGACATAACTCTTCCTATCAACCTGTATTTCCCCCTCATTGGAGTATAGTATTCAGTAATTGAGTTTTTTTTATTATTATCGATAACTTCTCATCAGGTTCTACAATTATCTCATCCTTAATCATAATCCATAAAATTGGTCAGATTTAAGACAGAGTACATTATTTAAAATTGTAATATGTGAATCAAGAATTATTGTTTGCCATATCAAATCAAATCATTAATGTTGGTGCTGACTAATATGAAGTGTTAACTTGGACCCGTTTATAAGTTAGATGATTCAAGTTAACACTTCATACTGTCAGCACCAACATTGATGATTTGATTTGATATGGCAAACAATAATTCTTGATTCACATATTACAATTTTAAATAATGTACTCTGTCTTAAATCTGGCCAATTTTGTGGATTATTAATTTGGACTTATAATTGTAAAACCTGATGAAAAATTATTGAAAGGGATATAACTTCGTTCATATAATTGTGTTTTTTATTATCATAGAGGAGTTCAGAGAATATTTGAATTGAATTTCTTACCAACATCGGTAACATTAGAATGTTTGACACATCAAATGAAAGGACAGTTTTGTTTGTTGTTTAATGGCCTTCACGTTAATCGATATACCTCCCTCTTCTTCAAATCCAGATATATCCAACTTCCATTTTAGAAACACGAACTTAGAAAGAGATGAATCAATTTGTGTGAGCATGCATGTCCAAACGTGATTATCCTATGAATACAATCAAGTATGATTTAAAACGGCTTTTATCAGAAACTAAGACCATAATAGTTACAGTGCACTAGCTTAATGTTTTACTAAAGTTTAAAAAGTCACAGCAACTTACACTTCTTAAAGATTTCAGGAGAATTTATACCCTCAGAGCTTCAGAGGAGGCCTCATCTTATTACACAGTCATTTTGTCAATTTAAGTAAAATTCATTTGAATGTAATCAGTTCTAAATCATAAGAGTATTTCAGTTAGTGACTTTTTAAGAACGGATAAATGGGTCGATTTTATGATAATCATATTTCATGATATAACCGACAATCAGTACTAAATAGATAACAGTTCAAAGAGTTTAACACAATAATTTCAAAAACCTTACGGGCCATATATCTTCGTTCGGAGTCCCAAGAACACGTACAACAAACCAAAGTTGTTCAATATCATTTTCTCCCTAAACAAGTCTTAGTACTATAAATTATTAAATACCGGGAACAATGGAGAACTGTTAAGTAATTCGCCAAATATACAACCGATAGCCCTAAAACTAAATAAATTATAACTGACATACCATAAATCAACACTATTTGTGTATTTTTTAGCTCCGTATAATAATTCAGGTGCTCGATACCACCTGAATTAATAGATAACCTTTATTAGTGAAAATTACCTTGTAGCCACCTGATGACTGTATAGTCGCTCATTATTATTCTCGAAAACTCTTGCAAGACCGAAGTCAGCTATTTTCAGGACCCCCTCCGAACTAATCAATAGATTGGCAGGCTTAAGGTCCTAAATAAAGAAGTGAAGATTAAGAAATGTCATAAAAACAGACACATACCCTGTGCATGATTCCATTAGCATGCATGACTTCAACTCCTCTTAGTATCATTAGCATATAACATTTAGACTGTTCTTCAGTAAGAGGAGGTTCCGAATTCCGAATAACCTCACTAAGATCCGTAACCATGTACTCAAAGACAAGAACAAAACCGGTGCCATGAGGGAAAACTTCTCGTAGATGGACAACGTACGGACTGGACTCAATAAACTGGAGGGCCTTTATTTCTCTACAATAATAAATATACTTTAATTGAATTACCGAAGTGCTGTGTTAGGAATTCCATCAGCTAGTTTTCTCAAAGGAACCTTTTTCAGCGCAACAAGTTCTCCACTCTAGGTAAAACTGTCAAATGCAAAATGAAATCACCTCAATATGCTTAGCTTTCAAAACGACTCCATGAGCACCTTCACCAATACGACCAAGAATACTGTACTGCTCCATATGACTCTAATGTTCGTAATATTTAATTTCCTGGACCTGCCAGTATCTAGTTGAACAAAGCTGAGTCATTTGATTTCTGAATCTCAAATGTAAGAAAGATTTTGAAGAAACCTCGGAACATTTGTCATAATGAAGATATTAAGTAAACACTAGCAAGCTACATTTCTAAATGTGAGATTTTGTGGACACTATATTGTTACATATACTTAGCTGCTTAAATATACGCCAGGAGATTGATTTTAATAAACCATTCTTTCTAACCACCAAAAAATAAGCTAGTTTATTGAATCATTTGCGAATTCTACCAGATACGGAAGCCCTTTACGGGAAAGTTTCTATTCAATCTAGAACCATTTGAAGAGCAGATAACATCAAAAGGGGTTTAAACAAATTAGTACTACATGTAAGAAAAAATATAAGTAGTATGATGAATGGAAAGGTACAGAGACTCCTTAACTTGACACCAAGCAATCATCAGTATTATATTAATTCAATGTTGACATTTATGCCTCTGGTACATTCAATAAGTAACTTGTAACCCTACTTTTATACAAATCGACTTGAAACTAACTGATTGACAGAATCGTCTATTTCTTGGAGTATTTCATGTGGAATTAGTATGACGAAGGGATATAAATTTATAATATACACTTACATTACATGTTTGATAACTGGTTGAGAACAGACAGTTTCTACATATGTAACTTTACTAGTATCAAAGACGGGTGATTGTTGCACTCAGTTTAATTCGTCAAGAAAAGAAACTGCAGTAAATTTGTAAAAGAAACTTAGAAATGACCCAACACCACTACCTTGTGAAAGATTTGGGTAGCGTTTGTTAAATTTCGAGTTTTTTCCCTTCGTCGTGAGAAATATGGTATTTTTCCCTAAACCTTGAAGAAATTTCGGTAGAAAATATCAGTGTTATAAGATTCCGTGAAAATATTAGGGAAAACGTAAAACTTCATTTATTTAGTGAATGTTACCCAGACCTGGATTAACTTTGTATGTCTTTTTTCATTTCCCCAAAGTTTTCTATCGCAATATCCCCAAAATTTAGCCAAACCGGAAAAAGTTTTCCCCAAAATAGCGAGATTAATCTTCTAATCGATTAAACGAACGTGACGTCATTATTTAATAACTTATGAACTCGTTTCGACATTACTACTGTGAACACCTAAATTGTCAGTATAGAATACCTAAAAGTCATTTTCCGTGTTGAAATGAAAAGATTAAATCAATATTTGATGTAAAGTATACTGACAAAGTAAATGAGTCCTCGTATAGAAGCACAAAACAGAACAGCGCAAGAAACCGCACTGATCTCTTTTTACAATTTCAGGATTTTGACATATATGCCAACGGAAAACTAACAAATAACTGAACAGTTACAAGTCAAAAACCATAGCAACACGCGCCAGGCTGCAAATGAACATTGAATTATCACATGGTGCAAATGGTTTTAGACAAAATAGAAAAAGCTTCAGTTTAACGAGCTTCTGTATACAATATCAGTTGATCACTCATACTGTCCTGCAGGAACCTAGGTATATTATCGATAAAAAAGGAAAAAGATATCACAGTAAGATACAATCCATAGTTCTTAAGAATATGTCATGCTTTCTCTTCAATAACTCCTGAAAAATCGACTGGACTAGATCAGACGGCAGCAAATTCCAGAATTAGAGTGCTCTTAAGGAGTAAAATTCATGTCTGCAACCCATTCTGCTGTGTTGTGTCGCTAGTTTCTAGGTGTTTCCAGCATTTTTCAATCATACGAGATAACTTACAGACTCCCGCACTATGAGTATGAAGTGTCAAATCTTTTACATTTTCATATACCATTATGATGCTGTCACAACTCCAGTTAAGAAAACAATATTCTAAAAAGTTATGGTTTTACGACTCATAATTCCGTAACACCTGTATAATTAAAAGACACAAACGCAGTCAAAACCGAAGTCAGAAATGAGTTCAAAGATATACTTGGAAGATTTTCGGTATGCTGAGAGACGTCTAATCTGAGCTGGCCAGTAGTTGCAAAGGAAACGTAGCTAGACGTGGTCACTAGCGATCTCGCTGGGAAACGTGATCTAGCACTTTTACTGGATGTCTCCGGTAAAATTCATGAGGTCAGTATCAATTTGAAGGACTCATATAATTCGTTATTTTGGGGCTTTATTAGTTGGTTCAGCTTATTTCCCCCAATATATTGAGGTGGTGATGACCTTAAGGCCTGATCAGTAAGAAATCTAAACCTAATGGGCTTGATGTTGGTAAGCACTGTTGCCTTTCCATCACTATCTGACGGTCTTAACTCAGTATGAGGAACCATGCGTTGCCAGACAACAATTTAAAACGTACAATAAAAACTTTGAATCATCGTCGTCACCCCGGTAAATGAAAAGAATGGAAGTACAAGTGCTTATTAAGACTCTCTCATGCTACTGTAGGGATGTAAGACACTCGAAGAAAATACCTGATATACATGCGAACACGTACGATGTAACAAGGTGAAAAAGGTTTGCTCAGAATGATTCCTCTTTTGAACTTAAAACTTAATATTCACACATATTCTAACATATCAGAAAAAACGATATTTTATTTTGAAAAGAGGGTGTTAAAAAGGTTAGAATACAATGAAATTATTGTATAACACGAAAAAACGAGACAATAGGCTCGTCATTCTACTTTTTTGCAACTACTGGCCAGCTCAGATCAGACGTCTCTCTGCATATCGACAATCTTCCATTCATTTCTGACGTCGTTTTTGACTGCGTTGGTATCCTTTAATTATACAGGCATTACGGATATAAGCGTTGTGAAACTCTTAATATCTATAATATCTTTTGAGTCTTTTTTAACCAAATACTTCTACTGATCGATGTTCATTAAAGTTAGTAGTGTCAGAATCATCAGCAACAGTCTAAACGTCTAGTAAATTTAAATTTAATTTTTCAGCGAAACCTCAAAGCATATTCTAAATAACGATCATCATTTCCTATTCTTCACAACAATAATTGCACCTGAATCAAATACATTCTCTATACAACCTAATAATGGCACTACTATGTTCATTATCTCTGACTCGATGACTCATAACTAGTGGATGAACTAAACAATGAAATGCCAATGTTCTTGAATGTATATTTGAGTACCTTAATTAACTAGCAACCACAATAGTAGCCTCATCGTCTGAAGTAAAAAATGATATTTAAGTCTTGAATTGTGTGTGACATGTTTTCATGTCTTAAGAAGAATAATTGACTGCTTCATTGTTCATTATAGTTGAAGATGCCACAAGCGTTTAGTTCCACAAAACTTCAACCAGTAAAACCTACAATTGAATGGTGCCCACCCAGTGAGATCAAAAGTCAGAGGTGATGAGGTTCAAAGATATATTTTATAGGATATCAATATATCGATCATCGCCTGATCTAAATTGGCTAGCGGTTGCATGAGAAGTAGATCACAGCGTCTTCACTCATGATCTGGTGCATATACTTGACCGAGCGCATTGAGCTAGATGATTTCATTAAATTCAATGTGGTCAGCATCAAATGTCAAAGACTTACAAAGCTACTGATATCGGGGATTTATTTATCATTGAACAGATATATGTCTAGAGAACAACTTACATAAATATTATTTTTATATACAAATAACTCCAATCTAAATAAGTCTAAACGCTCAATAAGTGTATCTCACCAGGTCTCAAGCTAATTAACTATCAGTTATTTATAGCATAAATTCCCGAATTATTAATATACTTAAAAATCACTTTCATCCATAAATGACCAGTATTAGTCACTCTAAAATACGTTTCCAGCTTTTGGTTATCCCTCTTTCGGAATAAACGGTCGAAATTTGAATTTTTGCGTATACTGACCATATTTGTTATAACTAATCCGTTAGATTTGTCATTGCTATATCGTAACTGCACATTTTCAAATATGAAGTCGTCACACAAAAATGTAAAACTTTTCAAGATTTCTTCTAAACAGTGCTTGTTTTCAACTCAGACAAGGTATAAATTTTAAACGTTGTGATTGACATAATAATTCAGTATATCAAGGCTGGAGGGAGTAAGGAAAATAATGAAAGAAAACAATGGTGACACGTTTGTCGTTATTCTTGGTTTGTCTATTCGAGTACTTTCGATTTTATGTCAAGGGGTTGATTCGCTGTTCAATAGAGGTTCTGTGATGGCTGCATCGTACTTGTTGTTTAATGCATACGAAGTGAATTGCGGTGACTTGACCGAATGTAAACATGAGCTGGACATTTTAGAAGGTATGTTGATAACAATGCTGAAACTTTCTATAGATATGTTTCTGTGTATCCGCCTGAATGAAGTTATACTTTACTGCAATTTTGCAAGCTTTTCTTTGATTTCACCTTATGTTAGCCACTGGCCTAACCTACGCATACATTACGTAAATGAAAATTACGTAAGATGAAATTAATAGTCATTTTGCGAAATTACTTGACATTTTAGATGATTGATCCTGAGAAACATGAAGATGTGAAAATTAGTGTGTTCGAAAGCACCTTATCCAATTTTAAAAGGATCATTATACCTTATACAGATCCTCAAAGTATATAGTTTTGACTTTATGTATTGCAGAATATATCTAGGTAACAGAAATAAAATGTTTAACAAGTTGATGATCGAAGACTGGCCACTTGTTCAAAGCTATGCTTACGACATTAGGCGCCAGTGAGTTTTTTAAACATACCTTATTTGTATCTCTTCGATGGTTTTTCGATGTAGGTTTGTCTTTGACTAATACATCGGTGGGTATTCTGTTTCCAACTTACGACTTTTAGATTTCTACATTAAATTTAAGCAGACACCTTGCTTGCTGCCTTTTTTATTGCAAGAGGATAAAAACACGTATTTTCACTAACCTCCAAATGTATCTTTAGTAAGTTCTTGCTATTGGAACAAAATTTGTGTTAAATCTTGAAAATCCTTTTAGCGTACTGAGGTTTAACTCTTCGTGTATATAGTTTAAACATAATAAGTCAAATCCATTGAGAGAAACATTCTGATAAAAAAAAATCAACCACATAACTTCCTGAATTACATGTTACCGAAATCAAATGAAAATACTGGTGAAAATTTTATCTCATCTATAAAATGTCAATTAGTTATCATCCATTCTGAGAAAGGCTATAAATCAAAGAAAATGGAGTACTACCAAGCAAACCAATCAAAAACAATTTGTTCCCTTCAATGTAGATTACTTTAATTGGCACTGAAAACAGTAACTTCAAGACTGAGATAGATTAACTTTCGAAGATTAAGAGTTCCCTATTATTACAAAAATATAGAGCGTTTAAGATTTACTGGCAATAAAACATTTGCAAATTTGCGCGGTCTCTAGTTATTTTGATAAGACGTATTGTTTTCAAAGGATTTATAAAGTGTGACAATGAATAACACTATATTTTCAAAAATTTTTATATTTGATGAAGCAGCCTGGATTCTTTCCAGTTCCTGTTACTGTCTTATTACTTAAAAGTGGTATTGTAAACAAATATTAATGATACCGACTAGGTTTTTCATTTTTCCAGTGTTATCTAAATGTGGGCTTATAGCGTTTTCACCAACAAAAATATCAAGGTTATTTTGCGAGTTTTGTGATTGTATGAATACATTATAATTCCAAATCCTTCCCTAGTTTATATGCAATACTTATTATTAGTTCTTTGGTATTTTACATCATTACAGATTGTCCAGAGAATTTTTCACTTTATCTCGCGAGGTAATACAGATTTCAGAAAAAGTTATCTGGTTTGTTTTGTGCAGGTGATTGATGTAGGTGACAGTCTTCGTCAGTTAACAGAAAGAATTGACCCGGTGTTTATTGAGTGTTTTGTAAGCAAAGTAAGTTAAAATGAAGATGGTGTGAAGTACTTGGATAGATTTTTGACATGTTTTTTAAATTTGGTGGAGAATAAAGAGTTTAAGTATCATTCGTTATATGTATGCTATATCTGGATGAAAATAAATGAATGGTAACCACTAGTAGTTATTTATGCACTGATATTCGATGAATATTCTTATTGCATGACTATAAAGCAATTATGTTACATGTGTATTCATATTCCTTTCATTATAAGCTTTTATTTGACCTATTGGTTACTGTTATATGAATTATTCTACTAGTCACAATTTCTCACAATCACAGCCACCTTTGGCTTGATCTTCCACAAATATTACTTTCTATTTTATGGTGTGATGTGGCCTGACTTTGATTGTATGTAAACCAAGTATGTTTGGATTATATGATTTGTATTGCACAGGATGAGATTGGCGTTCTGAACTTAACGGGCAAAGGTAGGCGAAAAAAGGACTAATCGGGTCTAGGCTGCTCGTACTGGTGTATGCGTCATTA